ACCAGAATTTACAGGAAACTTGCAAGAGATAATGAAACCCGTCGATCCAGCAGTTAAGAAATTGATCTACACTGGTAGTAATAAAGATGGTAGACTTAATTATCTGCACAAGAGGATTAAGTTATTACCGGAAGATAGGTGAATATTTTTTTACTACAACAAGTTTGACTAGCAATAATTCATAAACATTGAATTATTGTATAAAACCAGCTTATATCAAATTGACGAATATCAAATTGATTAATGATTTTACCACTGCTAATTCAAAATCATGTTTTTGTCAATAGGTATAGATTAGTATAATTGAAAAATTATGAGATGTGAAAGTAGTTTTCAATAATATAATAATATACTTCCATTTAAAATAAAGGGGATGCCACTGTAATATATAAATATAATTTTAAAAATAAAAATAAAATGATCCACTGTAACGCTGATAAATTTTTAGATAAAGCAGGTGCCTTTATATAAAAATTCAAATTTTTAAAACAATTCTATCACCGGTTCTGGTATTACCATGGCCGGAAAGTCAATTACCGGTAGCGGCTAGACAGCTAACTTTTAATCCATAAGGATATTTTCATATTTTTCATTTTTTCCTTCCATTATAAGCTTAAGCTACCTAAAATTTGAAGTTTGTAACACTTCTAGAAGTACCTTAGAATTTTGATGACGGTGAGTGAATCACTGTCGAAGTCAAAGGAGTTTGACTGGCATTCTCTATCTCACAAATTATCAGCTAATTTGAAAAACTAAAAATACTATCAGATAACCCTAATAAAGTGGCAATTAGTTTTTTGATTTTTTAAAAAGTAACAACAGGACAAAATAAAATTGATTTAAAAAAAAATCCGTTTTTCCAAAAAACTCAGCAAGCCTTGAAATTTTTAAAATGTTTTTGATGGCATCTTGGTGAACATCCCAAAGCGCAACTTTGCCTCGATTTAACCATGTTCGTATCTATTACGGTTACCGAGATAACAAAATGCTCGTACCCCGAATTTGCAGCGCTCTGTATAGTGAGGAAATAAATCCTTAAGTATTTTATCGTAAGTTTAAATTAGTGGACTCACGGAATCCGTAACAGTATATAAAAACATTTAAATTTCATACATTGCCGGAAATCGTTAGTCATTTTAGAGAATCTAGGTTTTCTGCCTCTTAATTTTATACTTTGTCGGTGACATATACAGTATGTTCGAAAAAAAACGGCGCCCAGTTGGCTTGGAAATGACGATCGATGATATTCCCCATATAATTTTATATATAAAAGCGTTCCTCATTTCATAGACGCTATTTTTTTCGATCATATTGTACAACTACTAATCATTTTTTTCTGGAGTGTAAATTTTCTATATGAAAACTATCGTCATAAGTATAAAAGTCTCATAATTCTGTGATTTCTAGATTTTATTTTCCCGAAGTTAGTAGCTTTGAGTACGGCTGGAAAATGTGGAACTATGTGAAAACTATAAAGAAAACCGGATTTGGAAGACAACAAGTTATTCAAGACACGTTTTATAGAAGAAGGGGTGTGGAGAGGGATCCTGAATGGTACAAGGAACCAGCTCATATCCGCCCTACGTTCTGTAATTCTTGCATTTGAAAATAAAAATTAATTATTCATGTCCATGTCTAACGAACATAAATTATGTTGTTTATTCTTTATAATATAATAATAGCTCCCGTGTTTCTTTGAATGTGGTAGACAATGATTCAGTATTGAAAATATAAGAATTTCGGACGTCCATTGTCTTTATTTATTTTGATTAACACAACGCTTCGATCAGAAGGATCACTGACCGTTATCAAGTGTAAACTAAATTACTTCCTAAAACTACTGAGCTTTTATACTACGGTCAGGCATTCACACCTGAAAAAGTTGAGGTCAGTCAACTGTGAAGGTTGTCCACTTAGAATGCCAGCATTGGAGAGTTTTATCAGTGGTTGTCATATCGTAGGTATTTCGTTACTATGATTGCTAACAATATTATTATTGCTTGCTATAAAAACGGCTTCTTTAAATTTATGTTTTTTCCAATGAGGTTCCCTGTGGACTACCCGAACTTCCGACCACTTTATATTGTGCTGTTATGACCAAACATGGTCCGCAATATCTGACTTCATTGTTTCGCTCTTTCGTACATGTTTTTTGTGCTCGCCAAGTCGTACATTTAGAGGGCGTTTAGTCTCTCCAATATACGACTCACCGCATTCACAAGGTACCTGGTACTCTTTCCCTTATTTCAATGATTCCGGCCTTGTTTGTGTTAGGACGCTTCTTAGAGTCGATCCAGATTTGAAGACAATTTTAATGTTATACTTTTCGGCTATTCGCCTGATCTTTTCTGACGTTTCTTTTACATATGGAATAGTCAAGAGAGAGAGAGCCTCCCTCAGGTCGATGAAGCAATGAATCAGTTTTACAAGTTAATATAGTTTTGTCTATGGACTTCTCAGAGCTTAAAGGGATATAAAATGGGTGATCGCAATATTACAATTCTGTGTTATGCCGACGACGCCGTTCTAGTCGCAGAAGACGAGGACGACCTCCAAAGACTGGTATATCGCTTCAACCTTGCAGCAAAATCTCTCAATATGATAATTTCTGCCTCCAAAACAAAGAACCTGTCAACATCAAGGATACCTATTAGATGCAAGATTGTCGTGGACAATAAAATAATACAACAAGAAATGAAATTTAAATATCGCGATATAGAGCTATCCGGTTATGGCGATATCGAAACAGAGGTAAGGCAACAAACAACAAAAACAATGAGAGTGGCTGGATGTCTGAACGACACCATATGGAAAAATAATCACACATGTGTCGAGGTCAAGTCAAGAATATACCAGGCTGTCGTGAGACCCATAATGACTTACACAGTAGAAACCAGACCGGACATAGCAAAAACAAAACTGTTTTTGGAAACAGGCGAAATAAAAATTCTCCGTAAAATAGCAGGTAGAACGCTAATAGATAGAGAACGAAGCGAAAACAAGGCGAACGTGCAAGGTGGAGAACATTAATGAATGGGTATTAAATAGAAAGCATGAATGGAACGACCACATCAACCGAATGGACGAAGGAAGACTAGTAACGGCAGCTCGAGACAAATCACCACTGGGAAGAAGAAGCACGGGAAGGCCAAGAAAAAGTTGGAGCGATAACCTTACCATCGATTCAAACTGTAGGCGTGCTGGGAAGAATGAACAGGTAATTTGCCTAATAGAGTGTTGGAAGAAGAAGACTTCTCTTCAACATTAAGTGTTGCTTGATTCTTTTATTGAAGTGAAACTGTTTTACGCGCGTTGGGAGTAAATATCCATATCGAGTCCATATCAAGTATGGAAATTTCAACAATTACTCATTAAACGCTCCAGTGTAGGTATACTAAGGGCTGACAAAGGTTAGTCTTGGGTCGAGATTTCCGTAATGTAAGAAGAGTACAATGCATTTATAATGTACTGAACAAAGAGAGGACAGTAAACACGTTGCCAAACGTATGAAATAAACCGAGAAACTGTGCAAATCGCTAAGAGACGTGGAAGGGGATATAGCAGATTTGTCGCAGTTGACCGGTCGACCCAATCAATACCTCTGTCAGTACTTAAAGTTCTAGGGAAAGGTGTACGTCATGCGTTCAGCTTCACGATTTAATTACGTTCTGTGATACTTAATTTGTTTATTTATTAACGAATCGTTGTAATTTTCCCTATATCTCCAAATCTATTAGAAATAATAGATTGTAGTTTTTTCAAGAACTGTTAATATTTCTGCTGTATTTTCTTTATAGACAGTATGTGAAAATCTTTATCAATAAAAAAATTACACGATTGCTGAAAATTGCTATGCTCTAAAAGTAAATGGATGGATTGTTTACAATTTTTGAATGGAAAAAACAACCTTATCGAATTTTTCTTATGTAAACATATTGTAAAATATCCGATCTTGAAAATAAAAAAAAGTTTTAATATCTAAAGTGGTTCTTGAGTTATGGCCTGTTATGTGTTAAAATGTTGAGTTTTTAAATTATCGCGATTACTGACGTTTTCTCGTTAAAAAAATTTGACACCTTAACGATATCCTTATAATTCCATTTCAGATGCTCAGAAACATGTCTAATGATTTTATCTAGTTATCTCTTGAAAAAAATGTCTTTTAATAATAAGGTTTGCGATCGTGATTTTACTTTACTTGATAGGGAAAGGCGTATCGGCAACGCCGCAACAGCACACCGTCGCGCGTCGCGTCGGTCTGTCGCATTTCTCTCACTCCGACTTAATAAGATCCCTATGCGATTTACTTCCACACATGTAACATGTAAATGCCGGCCCAAAAGTAACAGTTGCCAGCACGGTATACTTAGTGGACAACCTCCTGCTTGACTGCACCGAACTAATCTACGGGTGAATGCTTGGTTTCTGAAGTAGTGTAGCTTGGTTTCTTGAAGTAGTTTTAGGATTGACATTTGATATCTGACTTTGGTTACGTTGTGTACGCAAAATAAATAAAGACAATGGAAGCCCGAAATTCTTTTAGTTTTAATTCTTAAGACAAGTTAGAGAAGTATGCACGGCATTTCCCATGCGTAAGTTATTACGGTCAATTTCTTAAGGGTTAATGTTAAGACTAATGATCGAAGTAGGTAAAGTCTAGATTATCTCTGGCAGCTTAAAAGATGTGGTTGACTTTTAGGCCTAGAAATATTGTCTATTATTTGGGCACCGGTTAGGGGGGGGGGTTAGGTTGTAAAATCTATTGACATACACTTCTCATTCACGCCGGTTCGAGGCCGAATGGGATTTCATGATATCTCATGAGAAAGAGTCGATTCGGACACTCGTCCAGTCTGTAGACTATTGACAATGATATGGTCGAGGACCGTGGTTCGGAGTCGGCGTAAATAAAGTAGGCCTCGTCCAGATTCGCTTTATTAGCAAAAAAGAAACGTTAACTTAAAACACTTTACTTTTTCTTTATTATTTTTGTAGCTTACCTTTGAGTAGTCAGTAATATTTTTCCAATAAACCTCCAGCAACTGATTTAAATCAGATATATAATTTGAATCTTGAGAATCTGCGGGAAAATTGAACAGTTTTTCAGTGTACGCCGATACTTTACCATCGTTTGAAAGGCTATTGAATTTTGAATCTGAATGATCAGCCGAAGTTTTGTCTAAATATAATATATTAAAAATATTTTATTAATTAAAAAAAATAGTATTTTAAATTTTTATTTAGAGTGCCATGGCCATAAATGTAACGACAATTGACTCGAAATGCGAAGTGTGTGGACCCAGTTGATTTGTTATACCATTATTGGTAAAAGAAAATCTTTTTCCAAATATGCTAATGAGCCACCCTCGTTCCATTAAAAGTAATTGAGACATCAAATACGATTTGGGTATCTTTTAAGGTTGATTCTCACTATACTTTCCGTTTCCATTCCATATTCATTCTATATCCGTTCCGTATTTTTTATTTTATTGACGCTATATGTAAAAGCTTCCATTCCGTATCAGTTCCATACTTTTTATTGTACAATTTATATCATTACGAAAGTTTTATTTCAAAAATTTATATCTTTTTAAAAAGGTAATAGATTTAATTAAGAGGTGAAAGAATAAACAAATATCAGCAAAATGTTAACAGAGCTGGTACAAATGTAAGAACTTGACAACGCTGTTTCCGATATGCTTCAGTCCGTCTGCCAAAAAAACGTATAGAAGGAAAGGATATGGAACGGAAGGGAAACGGAACGGATAGTGTGCATTGTCCTATTCATTTACATGATATAATATTTTATGTAAACGGAAGGGAAACGGAAGGTTACTGAGAATCTACTTTTAACCGGCCAGGATAAGATACGATAAACTTTAGACGATCAAATATATTTTGCAAGGTTCCTTGATTAAACATTAATGACACAACTATGGCACTCTAGATTGAAATCTAAAATACGATTTTTTAAGCAAGAATGTCAAAAGTTGACATATCAGAGTGTCATTGTCTATCGAATAAAGTAAAAATACGAAGGGTGCCGTTTAACAATCAAAAGTTGTAGCCATTTCTTCCGGTGATACAGGAAGTGCCCGAAAACAATAATTGAATACGTCAATCAATCCTAATTTATGTCATGTACTAACATACCAAATCTTTTTTTTTATATGAAAACATACAAAAAGAGTTATAGAGGTGAACTACTTTTGAGACGCACCAGGTTAGTATATTTCCGTTGAACTACGCATACAATCAATACAGAAGAACGTATGATCTAAAAAGTAACTGCAATATAGTAATTATAGTTACTTTGTAAATGAGGATTAATGCTATATTATACGTTATAATTATATATTGTGTTATGGTATTATATATTGATTGGTCATTTATAAGGTTAGATCCTAAGGTATCATCACGCATTTTTTATCGATCATACAGTATTAATGCTAATTTAAAAGAAGTGTCTATACCATACGATCGGAAAAAATGGCCATGAATTGAAGATCGCTGTCATTTTATTCGGAAAGTGATATGGGGCATTCCCCATATAATCGATTGATTTTTGTCGATATCGATTGTCATTTCCAAGCCAACTGGACGCCGGTTTTTTTTCGATCATATGGTAATAGTGTCATTTTTGGAAGATTTCATGTGCATTGTAATTATTACCTGAATATAAAATTATGGGAGTAGGATGGATAAAATATTTCCCTAAAGTTTCCACTTTTGCTAAAATTCCGTCATAAACTTCGCAATAATCATTATAATATTCGTATTCTCCACAAAAATTCTTTGCAGTCGAGTCCAGTTCTTTAAAGGACGTTTGGACTACTTTAATATCGTTTTGACAAGATATAACTTTGCTGAAAACGTCACGTTCTAGATCTCTTATTTTCTTCTCAACATACTCCTTGTGAATGTACTCCTCTTTGACTATTTTGAGGCTGTAAGCAGATTATAATGTCTGTAGATGTTTATGCATCATAAGCGTTAGAATAAAAAAATTGCCTGAATAGCGACAAGAAATATCCTGAAAGATTTTGGTCTTAGGGATATACAGGGTAACCAGGGTGTTCTATTATTCCGTGGATATAGAAGTACTAGGTATTTCTGGAATCAAAATAATTTTATTTGATACAATTTACCTCTATACAATTTATTTTGTGTACTCTGTGGTCTGTTTTTGTTTAAATGTTTTGTTCATTATTCATGTTGGGGATTTATCTTTAAATTAATGTTAATCGTTAGGCAACCCGTAAAGTCATAGAATATGTATTTCTTTTGCATAATCAAAATTGTCACTCTAAATTTTACATAACCAAGTTGTTACTCTAAATCGCTGCCTTTTTTAGACAGATGTCACTTGTCTTGTCATTATTCGAATTCTCAGAATGTTGTTAAATTCTAAAATAAAATTTTAATCAATTACAATTGTTTATCTCCATCATTTACCGGATTAATAATACAGAAATTACAAATAATTCATTATTTATAGTGATTTACAGTAATTTTATTAAATTATACGAATATTCTCGTTGATTATTGGTTTGAAATAAATATGACAGTGTCCTCCAATGAAAATGCGAGTTACTAACTCTAAATTCTAATTCTGAGCTGGCAAATGAGCTACCTAGATGCTTTACCTAGACCGTTATTCAGAAGCTACAAACCTATCGATGAAAATATGCATGAAATCAAGGTTGGTACAGGTTCAAGTTTATTATAGTGATTTTCTTAGCCGCGTATGACACAGATCGTTACCCAGTGTTGCCACAAGCTTATTTTTCATCGGGGTAGATTATCACGAGATAACGGTCTTGAATTTTTACTCCCAACACGCGTAAAGACCTTTCACTTCAAATCTTTATCTATTTCTTAAAGTTTGATTCCCTCTAACGGACAAACGAAGCACTTTTATAAAGAGATAACTTGTCTGCAATGAACTTATTTTGAGACCAAAAATGCGTAGTAGTTCTATGTCTACGGAATATTGGGACACCCTGTATATCACACGATGGGCGTTATCCTATACTAAGGCTCGTACTGGATACCAGATGGTGTTATGCTGTCATGGTATTGCTAGGGACTTGTTGCATGATACAAAGAATACAAGGTATGATATTGCGCAGGTTGGTCACTACGTCACTACGTCAACTTTTGGGGTTATGTCCTAATTCTTCTCTACTTTTGGTCTTTTTTTATTAGTGGCAATAGAACAACATGGATATTTTTTTGTATGGCGTATGACGTCACAGGTGGTATGCGCAAACTTAACGAAATTGGAGCCGCTATCGATCATACCTTGTTTTCTTTGTACCATGGACTTGTTGTGACTTGTTTGTTATTAAAATACTGGGGGTCATTACAGATCATAATGGAGCTGTAATATTAATCATAATAATTGTCTAGAGGCGTTACAGCCTTTTTTATGTATTTGGTATTCTAGCAATAACGCTGAAATAATGTTGAATTAAAAAATAAATAATATTTACGTGTGTGATACTTCATCGTGTCTGACTTTGACACTGTCCACTATTTTTAATTTCTGCACTTCAGTATCTTTTTCAGCTGATGTTACTGCCTTTTCAACTTGACCCTCTAGCTTGCTCAAATGTTTTATATAATCTTTGACTTCTTGTACGGAATAATTTCCGTCTTCAGAAAATAATCTAATGTGAAAGCGAACAAAATATTAGCCATTATTCTACAAGGTGGCAAGTCATCCGTTTGGAATCTAAATACTAATCACAGCGATATTTTTTATTATACCGTATGATCGAAAAAAAAACGGCGTCAGCGATGGCTATTAAATGAAAATCGCTGTCAGTTTATACAGGATGGCCGATCGAAAACGTTCCGCAAGGCATAACGGCCAGGGTATTTTTTTTTCAAAAAATCCAAAAACACGTCAATTTTGTTTGTGAGGGGGACAACTTTTGCCCCAAAAATGATTGCAAAATCTTTAACCCTCTAAGCGGGAGTGTCATTCCCCAACTTTTTTTCAAATGGGAAGGGGGGTCAAGTGGCACCGTAATGAAAAGAGCTTTCTATTCTCTATATTTCCCCGCGTCGTTTTTGAAAATCGGTCGAGTCATTGAGAAAATATGAAGGATTGAAAAGTTTATTTAAACATTTATCAGAGTAAATGATAAGGATAAATTTCTTCGACCAATTTGCTGTTTTTTCTTATTATTTCCAGATGTTTACGCATTTTTTCACTTGTCACAAAATTAAACGATCAGGTGCGGTAGTTGTTAGATAGCTGTTCTGTGACTTGTGCGTTGAAGTTCTTCTCAATATCGTTAAACTGATCCACAATAGAATTTCCAAAAATACCAGCCCACACCTTCAATTTTTGAGGGTTTTGTGTGTGCACCTCGTGAAAAACTCTGGGGTTGTCCTCAGCCTAGTACCGACAGTTGTGCCGATTAACTACACCGTTCAAAAAGAAAGTACACTCATCTGAAAAACACACATTAAACAGGAAATGATTATCATTCGCCACTCGTTCACTCATAGTTTCACAAAATTGCAAGCGACGATCAAAATCGTCTTCGTTGAGTTCTTGTACCAACTGAATTTTGTACGGGTGGTATCCTTTGGACACTTGTACGATTCACGCGCGCCGGTCTCATTGGCTAATTTTCTTGTACTCAGCGTACTATCCATGGCAACTTGGCCCAATACGAATACCTCCATAGCTTTATTTACTACAGGATTTTCCCTCTGCCTCTTTTTAATCATAACGGAACCAGTTTCGCGAAATTTTGCTACTAAAGGTACATTCAGGCTGAGAGCGTCGAGCGTCGCGTCGCGTCCGCCCCATTGAACTCCAACCCCGACGCTCAGCGGACGCCAGCGCAACGCCAAACGCGACGCTGTCTGCCTGAACGGTTTAAGTTAAGTGAATTGATTCCATTTCGACACGCGGACGTGACGCAAACGCGACGCGACGCTCGACGCTCTCAGCCTGAATGTACCTTAACTCGCGAACAATTTTGCCATAAAGGTGTTTGACAGAATAGCGTTCATTGAATATATGCCCAACCCCATACATTCATTATTTTTAAAATAAAGTTCGATAATTTTCACTTTTTCTGCAAGTGAGTACACCATAATTGTTAAAAAGTTTAACAATATTGAGAAGAACTTCAACGCACCAGTCACAGAATAGCTATCTAGCAACTACCGCACCTGATCGTCCAACCTTGTGGCAAGTGAAAAAATTCGTAAACATCTAGAAATAATAAGAAAAAACAGCAAATTGGTCGAAGGAATTTATCCTTATCATTTACTCTGATAAATGTTTAAATAAACTTTTCAAATTTCAATCCTTCTTATTTTCTCAATGACTCGACCGATTTTCAAAAATAAAGCGGGGAAATATAGAGAATAGAAAGCTCTTTTCATTGTGGCGCCACTTGACCCCCCTTCCCATTTGAAAAAGTTGGGGGATGTCACCCCCCCTTAGAGGGTTGAAGATTTTGCAATCATTTTTGGGGCAAAAGTCCCCCTCACAAACAAAATTGACATGTTTTTGAATTTTCTGAAAAAAAAAATACTCTGGCCGTTATGCATTGCGAAACGTTTTCGATGGGCCACCCTGTATGTAAATTTATATGGTAAATGTCATCGATCGTTATTTCCCAGCCAACTGGAAGCCGTTTGTTTTCGATCATACGGTAGTAGTAACCTTACTTCATGCTATTAATGAAGAGTATATTGCTTGCTTTAACTTTTTCGAGAAAATCTGTACATGCTGTTATATATTTTGAAAATGTTTCTTCTATATCCTTTGAACATTCCTCTTCTTTGGATTTTAGAACTCTAAAATAAGCATTTATCATTGAAGAACTCTGAACTTTGAGACATCTGCTTTCCAACTTCTGTATTTCTTGATTGTAGGTTTGGAATATTTCGTTACATTGTTCTTCGTATTCGGAATTCGATTCTTTTAAATGAAAAATTTGTCTTTCAATTGCCTGTAAAATTAGTAGTTTTCAAATAACAATAAACATATTGCTTTTGCTATAATAGCTCTGTTATAATTCTAGATTAACTGAAATAAAATAAAATTTTATACTTCAAATAGACACGAACATGGACAACACCTAAAATAAAAATAAAGACAACGGAAGTCCGAAATCCTTTTATTTTCAATACTGAATCATTGTCTACCACATTCAAAAAAGATATCATCATTCTATTACATTAAGCATTTCATCCTCATTAGGTACTATTCTATCATTTTCATTTATTAAAATACTATAATTATTCAACACTAAAAATGCTGCTTGGATATGGATTATCGTCAAGTCGCCAAAAATAATTTTTTTTGAGTGAGATGAGATGTCATAAACAGAAAGGAGAATTGATATTCTAGATTTGAGAGAGTTTATAAAACACATAGTTCTTTTATAAATACAATTTAAGCTGCAAAACATTCACTGAAATATTTCAGAACTGAAATTAAGTGAAAAATACGACTGTTATTAGATTTAGGTTTTATATAAGCGTCATATATTGAAATCCGAAGAACATATATTTTTTTATTTATTTAACAATAAATATCTATTTAGACAGGGTGTTTCAAAAAACATGCACCATCTCTCGTAGGGAGATTCCTTTTTATTCAAGGTGCTTTTGGCGATTCGAATGAAATTTTCAGGGTAAAAGTTACTATACCTAAGTACCGTATGATCGAAAAAAAAAACGGCGTCCAGTTGGCTGGGAAATGACGATCGATGACATTTCCCATATAAATTTACACATAAAATGACAGCGATCTTCATTTCATAGCCATCGTTGACGCCGTTTTTTCTCGATCATACGGTACCTACCGCATATTTTAATGCTAAAAATATGTCGACAGATTTACTAGGGACGTGCATATAGGTTATCGCTGGACTATTTTTCTAAAAAAGAAACATGTGCGTCACTGACTTTTTTCTCTTGATATCACCAGGCCAGTATACAAACGTTTCCTAGATATTTCCAAGTTTTCCTCGCTAAATATTCTCCAGAGGTAAAGGTACTAGTTAGTAGTGATGGGAAAATCCGATTAATTTCAATAATCGAGTACTCGAGTTTCAGCCGATTGCAATAACCGAGTGATCGCTCGAGCGAAATATCACTCCTATTTAAAAATACGGTTGTTCACCCGTCACTTGTTGTAAGTACTCGTTAACGCCAAGCGCCAAGCAATAAGTTGCGTGCGCAGTGATGAATGGCAAGTAGCAAGCGGCGAGCGATTCGCTTGATCGCTTGATTTAGTTTATTTCAAAGCATTGTCGATGTAGGTCGTAAAATTTTGTCCCTCAGATAGGCAACGGATAAATATACAGGGTGGTCCGAAATGTATTCCCGAAACTTCGGCAGCATATTCTGCAGATAGAAATAAGTATAAAGGTTCATAAAAATGTATGTCCTAAAATGCTTAGTTTTGGAGATACAGGGTGTAGAAATTTCATTTTTATTTCGATTTTTTCCAAATAATTTCTGAAGTAACGTCAATATTTGGATGAAAATTTGTGTCTGGGAGTTTTTTGACATGAAAAATTTGATTTTGACTCAATATGACTCCTACTTCTAGAGGGCGCCACCTACATATTTTTTTTAACTGGGTTGAAGAGTAATAACTTTTTGCCCGTACCTGTATAAAACTACTGAGTAAAAAAATATACATTTATGACGTTTTTTACGTAAAAAAGGTCTCTTCGTAAAAATCGCTATGAGTAATGGTTCTCGAGATATTTGGAGTCTCAATTATCAATACATGTCAACATTGACATAAATTAAACATGTCGACTAAATAGTTATTAAACTGAAATCATAAATTTGAAATAATTTTGTGTCAAAAGTCAACAGACACTGTTTTATCATCATTTTTTCGAAGAAAAATTTATGATCAATTAAAAAAAAAATAAAAAGTTTCCAAATTTATCATTTCAGTCAAATAACTATCTACTCAACATGTTTATTTTTTGTCAATAATGACATGTATTGCCTATTTCCATTTAAAATATCTTGAAAGGTAGTAGCTTGAGAACGGTTGCTCGTAGCGATTTTTACCAAGAGACATTTTTTACGTAAAAAATCACGGAAACGTATATTTTTCTTCTCAGTAGTTTTATACAGGTACGAACGAAAAGTTATTACTCTTCAAAACAGTTAAAACACATGTAGGTGGCGCCTGGCACACCCTGTACTTATATTTATACAGGGTGGGTCTTAAATAAGTGCAAATATTTTCAGGGCTGAAATATTTTTATTTCGATAAAAGAAACATATTTTCTCTTTACCTTTTTTTCAAATAAATCGAAAATAACCCAGATATTTTACATTTAAAATAAAAAAAAAAATGATTTTTCGCTCATATTTTGAGACCCGCTGTATATTTTCTGGGGTTTCTTTTTGTAAATTTAATCTACTACCTATGTTGCCATATTATAAAAATTTTATGTTTTTTAACTAAAAATTTAAAAAAAATGTGTGCACTATGTGCGCATATTTGAAGTGAAACTTCTTCTTACTTTCGTCTGTCTGTCTGTCCATCTGAAGACATAATTAAGAAAAATCCTGACGATTTCGTCCATTTAGAGACATCGGTTCGAAACGTGGATGGCGTCCTGTAGCCCGTCCCAATTATGCTGAAATCGACCCACATTTTTTTTCAATATCAAATCGCTAGTCACACCCTGATGGAAATGTAAACGAAACGTCGTATCCAACTTTGCAGGGTGGGACCGTGTGCACCGTCGCTCACATAGCTTACCCACCAAATTTGGTCGCGATCGGACGACATCAATTTCGACGTTTCGTACGTCAAAACTAACTGTCACAGTGACACGTGTCGTACAGGGTCAAGTTGGTCTTGGTCCAATCTATCGACATACCAAATTTCATTTAAATCGGACGATTTTTTTATTTGATTCATTGACGATGGAGTTTCGTAGTGCACGAAACGTCGTCAAAATATCATGAAAAGATAAGGCTAAAAAAGGGCGTCGTCAAAATATAGTGAAAAGATGAGGTTAAAAAAGATCGGTGCCATTTTTTTGTGACGCTTCGCGTAAAGCTAGCTCGTGTGTCGCGGCCTTAAATTTTTACTCCCATCGCGCGTAAAGAAGTAAGTTTCACTTCAAAAAAAAAAATTGCAAAAATTTTTTTTATAGACGTGTTTCTGGGGTCGAAATATACCACCCCTAAAAATATCTACACTTATTTAAGATTCACCCTTAATAAATGAACCGCCTCGCGCCTCGGGATTGAATGCGGTATTTTTGCGCAGACAATGAACATTGAGACATTTTTATTATTAACATTATTGTTTAATATTTTTTACTTGTCTGTGTTCTTCAAATCTAAATTTATGTAAATTTAGTTCATCCAGGCGTTCATCGTAAACGTAATATTTGCTTTTCATAAATCGCATTTTCACCACATTTAGCCTTATTTCTAGTCTGGTATTCAATCTATCAATTTGACTGTTAACCCATCTATCGCCTTGTTGCAAGTCTTCTTTTGCCAAAGGAGCATAATTTTTAATTGTTTCCCATAATCTGAAATCTTTTATTAAGTAGATGATGGAGAGCTGTGCCGTAAAGAAAACAAAACGAAACATGGAAAAATATAGGTAGACCATATTATATTTTAAGGTAACTAATGAGTAAATAAATTAGGTATTAGACTTTAAAGTTCGCTTAATACAATCATCGTTTTGGATCTTGCCTCTATCAACTTGACCATACATGACGATTGTCGATACCGTGTGTACAGAATAGCGCTCCAGTATATTTACCAGCATAATATACAGGTAAACCTGGTAGCTTTGAATAAAAAGCCTGGTGGATATTGCCATATTAGGAGAAACCGGGGGAATCCCGCGCACGCCGCTGTAGAAAAAATTGCAACTAGTAATAGACAGGTGTGAGGCTGGAAGTGTTGCATAAGCCATATGAAGTTTGCTCCAAAAGTTTGGAATAATTGCCGGCAGTCTTTAACCAATAATGAACATTTTAGTGCTAGATGGGGTTTTCATTTATCTTTTCGGCAATTTAATCGGTTGATAATTAGTAGTTCCAGTGATTATTAACAGCAGCTTGATTTTATCTCCACTTACCAGTGCACCTATACGTGTTATCGCAAGCGATTACCAATAAAATGTAAGTATTTTTCCAAAAATACATTTTTATGTTAATAAACGGCTCCCAGGGAAATACCGCGTTTAAATAACCGCGAAAAACAATAACAAATAATAACGCGCTGCGCCAACCGTTTTTTCCAACCGTCAAATCTAAACCAATGTCAGTGAAATCGCGCCCTAAACAACATTCAAAGATTTTAACAGCTACTCCACTTAAATCAGAATTGGAAACTATGGAAGAAGAAAGAAGAGAGAAAAAAGAAAAAAAAAAAGAAGCAAGTAATGTAAATATGAAGGAAAAGAGAAGAGACAAAAGGCAGAAAAGAGAAGCAAATATTGTATTGAAAAAAAGAAAACTCTCAACAACTTTAGAAAGTAAAAAAAAACAACAAGAAGCCAAAGCACAGTCGCAATTGTAAAACTTGGAAAATAAGTTCGTCATAATAATGCTTTTATTTATTCACTATTCTAATAAACAATATGCATTCCTTCGGAAACTCTCTATTTATTTATCTAGTAATGCTAAAACACTCTATTTGAAAGTCGATTAGAGAAAATAGTATGATTCATTGGCAAGTAATGTAAATATTTGCGATCCGGTAAAATTGTGATGTAAGAGGAGGCTTAGCTTGCCTGCGTGCCCTGCGGCAGGGCAGTAGTAGTCTAACCGGCAGGCTGTTGTGTTGTGTTTTGTCATAGAGCTGATATTTGGGGGTTGAGAGTCTTTTAACTATAAACGTTGCAAGGACTGTAAGGCAACGGGTCGTTTGACCAGAAGAAAACCTCTTGTGACGTCTTGCCTTCGAGGTTGGTCTTGAGAGTTTGAGGTCTCCCTTGTCTTCTCGATTGACACGATGCGGCGTTGGGGTAGAGAGACTAGTGAGGTACCCCAATTAGCTTATTCGATTGGGATGCGAATCTGTTTAGCGGCAGAATTGCGTCCGGGGAAGCCCCTATACTATTTCAGGTGACACTAGCTAGTTGTTGAAGATTATTAACCAATAGATCCGAATAATATTTGAATTAGATGGAAGGTATGAAATGTGATATATTGAATAGAATGTCAGTGATGTCAGTGGTTTAGAGGGCGGAGTACCCCCGGGTGAGTCACTATTTAATTATCAATTTTATCCAGATCAGTAAATGTTTGTTTTGTTATTTTCATGTACAATGAGAGAGTGCTTGCCAATGATCAACTAAATGGATATTTGAGGTGAATTTGCATTGTGAGACCCGGTTGAGTAAGCCCCAGAAATAAGCGATTTTACACAATATTAAGTTTGATGATGATACTGAACCTGAGAGTTATTCTGAAAGCGAGCTTTGTGTTGATGATGACTTAGACGAAGTTGATCCTTTCCCAAACCCTGAAGATGACATCTGTTTAATTTGCGGAGAATTTGGAAGGGACAACGAGGTCTGGTATCGCTGTAATTCCTGCTCAAAGTGGGCCCATGCTGATTGTAGTGGAAAAATCTACCTTTGTGACTACTGTTGCTAGGTAACAGTTTATTTTTTATATAAATATCTGCGTTAGAATGTTTTTTTATGTTAATATACAATAATGTATCTTTACGTTTGTTCTCACTACTGGGTTCTTCCCCCAGACCATGCGCGGTATTACCCAAAAGCCCGAGTAATACCGCGCAGTCACACATTTTTATTTTTCTTGTGTTAATAGGTACAACAAAACAAAAATGTTTAATTTTCAATGTTGCAATAGTTTGTATATTGTATCAATACTCCTCATACAAAAAATTACCTCATAAAAAAATTAACATCAATCTAGGAGCTATTTTGCTTATGTGCGCGGAATTCGCCCGGCTTCCCCTAAGTCAAGAAAAACATCTTGTCAAAAGATAACTGGTAAAAGAATTAGAATCTTGACATCATAGATAAAGGAAATAGATTGGAATGCCCGTCAAAACATATAATTGTTTTTTAAGAACAACCGCAAACAAAAACAGAAATAATTTTCTCTTGTCACTGCTGCAAATGCTTAACATAATATATTGCATAGATAAAAGAAATAGGTTTAGATTAAAAAGTGCCCATAAGAACAATGTAAATACTATTTGGCGCTACTCTTATACAACGGTCGCTCTCCAAAGCTTGTGATAATTTCGGAGCGGTTCGACTTTTTTCGGAATTGTGTCGCCAATTTTGTTTATTCAAATTTATTATTTTCTTTTAACTTTTTAAATAAAATTCAGTGTGTTGCATATATAAGAAACTTTATTTTATATATGACATGTATGACAAACCTATGAAACATTGGAAACCGACGTTATGCCACAATCCACGATGGTTTTTACAGTTCACACAGCTTTTTAAGGTTTGAATGCCATTTTTTCACAATTATCTCGGGTTTGAGTAAATAAAATTTAAATTAAACTAACAAGGTAGCGATAATTACTTTGAAAATAGACGCTTTAAACACTTTTCGGTATTTTTTCAATGAGGGCAGTTTAAATTTTGAAAGGTTTTATAAATTTTTGAAGATTCTGATTTTGACAAGAGAAAATTTATTTCTTTTCTTGTTAGCGGTTTGTCTTAGCAACCGCTATAGCGCGCTACAACGTATGTGCTCCAAAACAGTTCTCTCCAAAATCTAAACTTGTTTCCTTTATCTATGATATATTGTAAAGAGTCATATTTTTAATGAATCAACTGAATCTGCATGGGCAAAATCCCGTTTGGAACTTTTTGTCTGTTATTATATATTAAAACTAACTTTTAGACTGTAATAATAATAGTAATAATTGTTACCCGAAACCCCAATTAGTAACTGCGTCGACTTGAAATTTACAGTACCAAATTTGATTTGGTATCAGATCCTCATCATGATTGGCTATTTCGCTTGTTTGGCTGGCTCTTTTTCTTTGGATTTTAGGATCTTTTTCTAAATCGGGAGGACAGACTACTAAAAATCTATTCATCTCAGCAAGAAGGACGTCCAGTGCTAGATCTAGATGAATTTTATATTTTTTTGTAGTCGTTAATTCTGATTGGTATTGAGCTCTAATTCTGCAAATGCAAAGTATATTGTATACATAGTTAAACAGGGTATTTAGAACTAGACGTTATTTATATTGTATAAAACATATTATATCTAAAATTAACATTTATTTAAGTAACAGAATAATTTGTGACACGATTGTGACAGATGACAGATGATGTTCCCGAATTTAGTAACACGTAGTAGATAAAGAACGTAGTAACTTTTTTATTTATTTCTAAAGAGTAGGTACAATTTTTCAAGCGAACACACAAAACAGGTAATTTTAAATTTTGAACGTACAGCTGGTTCCAATAAACTTGAATACGATTTAAAACATATTTTTATTATTTCGGGCAGTATATTCTATGATACCAGTCCCCCATTTCTCTACTCTGAAAAATTTATTTGCCACTTTATCAAAATCAAAGTTGTTTTATACAATGTCATAATCACAGATAAAAGAAAATAATCTACTATTAAGATAGATATAAAACTTAATAGTAAAATTTTGGGTCAAAGCGCCTCTCCGTGTTTTTAGTGGAGACTACGTTTAACCCAGCGCCTTCGCCTTTTCTGCTGTAAATGTTTTTTATGTATTTATTTGAATTCAAAGGATTTATTTTTAAAGTTACACTGATATATTAGTATATCAGAGTAACTTTAATAAAACATAAGAATATATATATTTTACAATTTATTTTTTTATTTATTTTCATGTAAATGATCGTAAGTCGACTGGCTGTTTAATGAATAGACCGAGATTTATAGATTTTAAAGCGAACGAAAAAAAAATCAAACAACGAATACATACCATATATTTTCTTTTATCTGAGGTACATACCTTATCGTCTTTTGGAAACACGTACATTTTTGCAGTTTTGTTAGTTTCTTTGCAAGATGCAACACAACAAGAAAACATCATTTTTACAGTTAATAAATAATAAAACTATTTCTGACTATGATATTTAAAATTTAGATAGATAGAAAATTAAAAAACAAACGAGTATTTGCAAACGCAGGCCCAGATTCAATACAAATCAAAATTTTTCCTGCGAAAATCAGGCTTTTTTCACTGAAACGGTATTTTTTGATTTATCAGCAGTCATTGTCAAGTTGACAATATACAGGGTGTTTTCGAATTAGTCTAAAAAAATTATGGTGTGATTCCTCATGTGTTCTTCAAACAATTTTTATATAACCATTAGGTCTAAAGTACTTCCTTTCTGATCTACAGGGTGTTAAAAATTTAAAAAAATCGATTCTTTTGCTTAACATAAATGGTACACCACTGCTTTTTTAAAGAAAATAATTTTTTTTCTTGACTGGCCATCCTTTTTTAACAAAATTGATCTTTTGAGTTTTTCTTGTTCATCAAACGGTTGTCGAGAAAAAAATAAATATACTTATTAAGAGCCCGCCTTAATTCGTTTTCTAACGATTTTTTATTTTTTAGATTAATTAGGAAACACCCTGGATATGCATATCACAGGCAACCAAATAAACTAGTAACCTCTAAAAATTATTTTTCCTACCACTAGCGACATACCGTGTTTTTAGTGTGTACTAAATTATTTTATCAAAATTTCACCATATAAGTTTCCAGGCAATGGTCATAATAACCTTAACATGTCAAAATACTTGACACATAAATATACACTGCCCAAATATTCGGAAAAAATGTGTAAAGAGTCGTATTCATTTTTTTGGAACCAGCTGTACGTTTTGTATATGTTCTTATACAGGATCGCTGTTATATATGGAAACGGTCTATTATTAGGTAAAATATAGGAGGTACCGCAAAAAGTTATATATAAAAGTTATAGGGCATATAAATATCTATTAGCGGGTAATACATTTAAATATACAGGACCGGTCATAAAGTTGTGGCAAATCCAAGTTTCATTTTTTTAAATGGAACCCCCTGTATATTATTGCATATTTCGGTCCTTCCTTCAATTCTAAGCAAACATCGAAATACACACAATGTACCTCAAACCAATTGCTTCCGAGTTATTGACTTTTGAAAATATCACTTAAACAATTTGATTTAATTAATTTCGATGTACAGTTTCATTTAACGATGCCATTCTGCCGAAACTGTGATACTTAATAATATTTGACATTTGTTCTCAAGTTAGCATTTTTAGATGTATAAAATGAGAGTATATCAAGTCTGAAAATTACAAAATTTTCGTTTAACATTTTAATGCTTCAATTTATGTACATTGTGTATTACGATTATTGCTTAAAATTGAAGAAAGAATTGAAATATTCAATAATATACAGTTTTCATTTAAAAAAATAAAGTTTGATGTGACACAACTTTATGAGCGACCCTGTATACTTAAATTTACTAGTAGCTAATAGGAATTTAAAAACCCATCACAACAGTATTACAGTTTCTGCAGAATGGTATCATTAAATCAAACCAAACACATCGAAATTAATTAAATCGAATTGTTTAACTGATATTTTCAAAAGTCAATAACTCGGAAACGGTTGGTTTGAAGTACATTGTATGTATTTCGATTTTTGCTTAGAATTGAAGAAATAATTGAAATATGTAATAATATACAGGGGGTTCTATTTAAAAAAATGAAACTTTGATGTGCCACGACTTTATGAACGACCCTGTATACTTAAATTTATTACTCTCTAATAGATATTTAAAAATCCTATAACTTTTGTATAAACTTTTGCGGTACCTCCTATATTTTACCTAATAATCGACCGTTTCCATACATAAAAGCGACCCTGTATAAACAAGAGTTTTACTGAATTATTAACCATGTTAGCATCAGCAACAGATATTTAAAATTAACGTCACTCAGTGGTTAGTAAATCGTGTGTCTGAAACCTGAATTGTAATTATAGATTATATTAACTTTACTCATTAAAAATAAATTAAAATAAATTTTATACTCTAACAGAAGAAAACTTACAAGTCTTCTATTGAGCCCAAGTACTTGTTAAGCTCTCCGAAAGTTTTGTTCAGCTTCTCTTTTGTAGATTCTTGTCTCAAGGTGTCAATCAGGACGTTCAGTTTTGCATTGCAGGCCTAAAAATAAATTTATTTGCAACAAATTTCAAACTCTGTAAATAGTTTAGTAAACGGAAAAACGAAAAATACAAGAAACGACAAATGTTATGTTATTATATTCGATATATAGAGGGTGAGTCTTAAATAAGTGCGGATATTTTCAAGGGTAGTATATTGTGACTCCAGAATTTATATGAGTTTTTTTCAGAAAAAAATTAGAAATTTGGAATTTTTTTGAAAAAAAAATGGATTTTTTTAGTTTTTAGTTAAAAACATAATTTATTGATAATATAACAACATAGGTAGTAGATTAAATTTACAAGAAAAAAAAATAGAAAAAGTCCAGTGGTTCTCAAAATTAGGGCAAAAAATCATTTTTTTTTTATTTTCAAAGTAAGATATCTCGGTTATTTTGGACTTATTTGAAAAACGACAAAGAGAAAATATGTCTCTTTTATCGAGATCTACCATCCCTGAAAATATTTGCACTTCAGAGGACGCTGTATAATGTAGTTGTGTTATTTAGGTAGCAAGAACTTGACATCACACAAACCTGGAACAATCATCTCGTATCCTGGAAACTATATAAAATGGAAAAAGTGTGTGTATGAAAGTAATAAAAGTGCGACTTTGATTTTAGGGTGAGGACACACGAGGCGGCTTTTCGTCGACGCGGCGCGGAACACTGAGGCGGATGGAAAGTATAACGGGACAAAACATAAGTAGCGATGTTTGAGATTTAAATAAAATCTAAAAACGTAGCAAATGGTCTGATATACCGGGTGCGTCTCAAAAGTGGCTCACCCCTATAACTTTTTTATTTTTTCGGATAAAACAACGAAATTTGGTATGTTAGTATGTGACATAAATTGGGATTGATTGACGTATTCAATTGTTTTAGGTCACTTCCGGTTTCACCGGAAATGACTACAACTTTTGATTTTTAAATGGCACCCTCGGTATTATTTTACTTTATTCGATAGAAAATGACATTCTGAATCGAATGACATATCATATGTCAATTTTTGACATAGTCGCTCAAAAACAAATTCTATTTTAAATTTCAATCTAGAGTGCCATGGCTGTGTTAAAAACACTAATTTTTAATCAAGAAGCCTTGGAAAAATAGATTTGATCGTCTAATGTTTTTAGTGTCTTGTCCTGGCCAGTTAAAAGATGCCCAAATCGTATTTTTAATAGTATCTCAATTTTTTCAAATGGAACAAGGGTGGCTCATTAGCATATTTGGAAAAAAGCATTTTTTTAAGAATAATTTGATACCACACACTTGGTATTTTGACTCAAATTGTCGTTATGAACCGCATGTTACAATTTCAAATAAACCATACGCTAAAATGTCAAAAGTTGACATATGATATGTCATTCGATTCAGAGTGTCATTTTCTATTGAATAAAGAAAAAAAAATACCGAAGGTACCATTTAAAAATCAAAAGTTGTAGTCATTTCCGGTGAAACCGGAAGTGACCAATGACAATTGAATACGTCAATCAATCCCAATTTATGTCATATACTAACATACCAAATATCGTTGTTTTATCTCAAAAAATAAAAAAGTTATAGGGGTGAGCCACTTTTGAGACGCACCCGGTATAGTAACCATAGAGTTAAATTCATTTATTTATAACAACTTAATTTATTAATAAATAAATAAATACAAGATTGTTGTCCCGTTAGAATGGCCATCCAAGGCAATGTGCGCCGCGAGTTGTGCCGCCTGCGTAGGCTCTTCAATGGGACTTCAATGGTACAAAACACACAGACGGCACGGCGCGGCGGCGCACAGTGTAACGAAATCGGAAAATGCAGGACATTAGCCCAAAAAACAAAAAAATTAATTCATCGAGTTTTTTATATAGATGAATAAAGGACATCCCAGAGCCCCACCATGTGAGATATTTCTTGAGTTGACCTCTTAGTCGGGGTGTTATGGCGGGTTAAAGTTATGGTTTCCTTAATTTACCAAATCTGTACAAAAATTTCATACAATGAAATTTATTATTTTCAGAAGTTTCCTTGTGTTGTTCAATTCCAACAATTTTTTCCGTAAAGAGAGGTCTTTTACCAACACACCTGAAAAAAATGTCCCAATTTTTTTCAAGTCTAGTTTCTACATGTTTATTACGTCTTTCAAAAAAAACGCTTATATTCGCGCAAGATTATATATATATATATATATATATAAAATATCATAGAGTGAACCTTCTAGTATACTGTTACATATAAATTTCATCCACCTAGATCTGAACCTGTAGGAAAAAAATAAATTTCTTCGGCAATAATTACGTTTTCCATTGATTCGACCGTAGTTTTTATCCGTAATTTTTTGTGCTATAATTTCTTTATTGAAAAAGCTATACGCTTGCTATGAACATACTGAATGCTATTTTAGGGGCGAGGAACCATCCTCACATTGGGGTGGGGGACAGTTTTCATCAATTCAGAAAATCTCAACATTGGAGGAAAATTACTCAAGAGAACATTTTTTCAAACCGGCAATATTTTCTTCGATGAATATTCTCTTGAGTAATTTTTAATTTAACACTCAAATTTAACACTCCACCCTCAATGCTGCATCATTGTTGGTGCCAAACTATTAAAGATATATTGCACAACTTATTGATATATTCAGATCCTCTACTTTCACATCTGCGACCAAAGGACTCTAAAGATAAAAAAGTAGACTTGTTTCCGGAAGCGAAAGAGGTCTTGTATATGGACGGAGAAGAAATTGAGAATGATTTTTAAGCATGTTTTATGTAAGTGCCTTATATATTATGTTATTTTGGAATAATATACACCCTACATAAATTATCGCATCACTTATTAATTTGGAAAACTGCAAAGTATTCTTAAATTCTCTTGGTTAACAATAATCTCAAAAGTTATTTGCATTAATACCAACTTGTTAAGGAATGGAAAGTATATCATAACTCAGGCAGACCTTAGATTTAAGTTTTTTACATAAAAATGTTTGAAGCGTTTCAAGAATAAATACTACGAAAAATATGTGTTGCGAAATTTTTTGTGAGGTGTGTATTATGGTTTCCTTTGTTGAAGTTGAATACGTTTTTTTGGCATATTATCATATTATTTAATACTGTTAAATGATATTTGCCACTTGTGACGTTCTCATTGAACTTTGCAGTCTAATTTATCCCTGATTATTTGAATATTTAGGAATGTTGATTGATTTTTGACATATTAGCGGGAGATAAGTGATTGTTCGACAGTAATTTGATAACGTTTTTGGTCCATAAGAGCTATAAACTCTTCGTAAATAAAAAAATATACCTGTAAAGTCCTTTTATAAAACTTCGTATTTTTTTGACCTTCCATTACGCCTTTTTTTACTCTTTTCGCCCTGTAGCAAAAATTCCTAGTCGTATTATTTAATTTCTGTCAAAAAATGTCAGCAAGAATAGTGATAACTGAAGAAAAATGCCAATGTCCCACTATTTTAGTTTTCGTTACACTGTGCGGCGGCGACGGCCGGCGAGCGTATACAAGCGGCTAGGATCAAAGTGCCGACGCCGACGCCGACGCCGACGCCGACGCCGACGCCGACGCCGACGCCGACGCCGCCGCCGATTATAAGCCGCCTCGTGTATCCTTACCCTAAACCGCATAAAAGCCGCCACGTGTGTTTTGGTTTTTATAATCCTCTATAGTTAGGTAGATGGGTTTTTATTCGAAACTTGAATTAATTTATATAAATGGTATTCTAATTATTATTACCTGCATGTTGGTGTTATTAGACAAAATTGTATTATTCACATCTTTGTAAATCATTAACTGAAGCGCTTTAAGTCTGCTAAAATGTTTGGAAAACAATGTTGCTGCTAGTAAAAGCAATTTATAAGTCTCATCTATAGATTTCGTCATTTCGGCTACAAGATCATTCCAAGTTTTCTAAAAGAGAAATAAAATACGAAAATTTTCAACCTTAATTTAATTTGTTGGGGCTAAAGAGTATTGTCTTTTACTAGTATTAACTAAGTACTTGAAGTATTTTTATATCGATTTCATATTTTTCCTTTATTTCTTCTAAAGACGGCGTGTAGACTTCACACTGTATACTAGTTATCTCTTCCCTGTCTATAATATCGCCCAAAGCTTCTTCTACAGTTTTTAATTCTTCGAAAAATCGGTTGAAGAAAATGATGGTGGCTTTCTTAAAATTGGTTATAACGTTTTGAGCTTTCTGATCTGGAAATATATTACATACAGGTTGTTTCAAAAAACATATCGTCAGTGAAATGTGATAAACTGCTAACTCCATTATTCCCAATTTTACAGGAGAGCAAAAAACGGTACAAAAAAATATGTACACATGTAGGAAGTATTTTCATGCATTGATATGAATTTTATTTGCTGGGGAAAAATAAAACTCAGTATTTCGTGTTACATCATTTTTTTCAGACACAATAAGGAGATAGCAGATATTCGTCTTGCAAAAATAAGAAATAAAAATATACTTCTGGAGATAGCAACCTTTATTGTTTGAAATTTTGAAAATGGAATTGAATATTACCCAAACAGATTTAGAAGTAATCAATTAAATTTAAAAAATATGATATTCATAACCATATATTTATAATATCGTCGGTCTAGAAGCAAAACATACAAGTCCAAAAACGAATAAATTTTTAATGCATTTCTAAAGAACTGAAGTAGCAGCATTTTGGACTTAATGAATATGAAAATAATTTAAAAATTAAACTTTTAATTCTTAGAACATATAGTAGAATGCTTCCATGCTTATCCTAATTTTTATACAACGGTAGTAGACCGAGCTTGGAGAACAGTGCATGATTTTTATTACTTTTCTCCTTATTTTTTTAATTTTTATAAAAATTATGTATCATTTACGTGGAAAAACGTTGAAAAAATAAAACTGATTAGGTATTATGGAAATTCTTGTATACAAGTAAGTAATGTTATTTGAACTATTTATAGCACGCCGATGAATTGCTCGTATATAGAGAATTTCGTTTTTCCCCTTACCCTTTATGGATACCCCGTATTTACAGAACGGATCGACGTAGGGTCGGACTGGTCATATATTATATATATAACTATTAGGGGGGCCCCAGCCTCCGCGGACCCCTTTTATAATTCATTATTTATTCTTAACAATATTAGCTTTTGCATTGCATTATGGCATTTGCATTGCATTGGTTTACCATTGGTAGTTCGCTGATTTCTATACAGGGTGAGTCTTAAATAAGGGCAAATATTTTCAGGGCTGGTAAATCTCGATAAAAGAAACATAATATTTTCTCTTTACCGTTTTTTCAAATAAATCCAAAACAACCGAGTTATTTCTTTTTAAAATTTCCAATTTTTTGCTATAATTTTGAAAATCATTGGATTTTCTTTCTTGTAAATTTAATTTACTACCTATGTTGCCATATTACAAACAATGTATGCCTTTAAACTAAAAATTAAAAACATTTCCAAAATTTTTTTTAAAAAAATTTTCCAAAAAAAAATTTCGCAAATAACCCTCATAATCGTGTTTCTTGGGTCGAAATGTACTACCGCTAAAAATATTTGCACTTATTTAAGACTCACCCTATATATAATAGGGAAAAATTTACCAAAACGTAAGGCGAAAAAATACGCAAAAACTCCACACGGGCCCCTCCTTACGTTGCCCTTTGGCCTAGTGCGACCCTGGATCGACGTACTGTTCTAAAGAAACATACGAATAAGAATCCGTGTGTTTGCTTTAGTGTGATCGTAACGGAAATTACGGAGATAGCAGCATTTCGGCGGCTATTTCAGATCACTGGGAGTTAGCAGATATTATTGAGTTAAAATAGCAAATTTTCTTTAATGGGAAAAATGTATTTGCTTTCCCTACTTATAGAGTATTTTTTCTCTTTAAAATGGTATAAAAAAACTTATTAACGTAAAAATGAAGTTAGCAGGTTATCACGTTTCACTGACGATATGCCATCTCTCGTCTGATTCTGATTTGTTTCGTAACTAATTATAGATTTCTACTTGCATTTTTGTTTTTATTTACTACTTGTCAAAGATTAGATGTCAAAATTTTTAAATACGTCAATTTGACTTACATGCTTCAGTAGCGTCATAGATAAAGGAAATAAATTTAGATTGGAAAGCCCGTCAAAATATAGAATTGTTTTGGGTTGCGACCGTTGTACGCGATCTGGCGCTGCTATAGCGGTTCCTAAGACCAACAGAAATAATTTTCTCTTGTCAAAGTCAGAATCTTCGAAAATTATACAATATTCTAAAATTTAAACCGCCCTCATTGAAAAAATACCGAAAAGTGTTAAAGCGTCCATTCTCAAAGTAATTATTGCTATCTTGTGAGTTTAATTTAAATTTTACTTACTCAAACCCGTGATAATTGTGAAAAAGTGGCATTAAAAACTAAAAAACTGTGTTGTAACCATCTAACCAACTGTGAACTGCAAAAACTATCGTGCATCGTGGCATAACATCGATTTCCAATGTTTCATAGGTATCTCACACAATACATATGTCCTTATATAAAATAAAGTTTTTTGTATACAACACACTGTATTTTATTTATAAAATTAAAAGAAAATGATAATAAATTTGAATAAATAATATTTGGCGACATAATTCCGGAAAAAGCCGAACCGATCCGAAATTATCAAAAGCTTTGGGTCGCGACCGTTGCAAGAATAGCGCCAAATAGTGTTGTACATTGTCCTTATGGGCACTTTCCAATCTAAACTTGTTTTATTTATCTATGAGTAGCGTATCGGATGTTTGTGTTAATAAATAATTGTTATAAGTTACTGCTTTTTATTAGAATTATATATTTTTATAACCATTTTAATAATTTCCAACATTTATTGACAACGTAGAATAAAACAACAAATTATTGATTCTACCTTACATCATATTTTTATACGTTTCGAATAAAATTACACTGGCACTGATAAAGCGGGATTCAAGTCGGCCATTTTTCATCCCCATCGCGCTCACCTAAGTTTTTTGATATGCTTCTTCCTTTGTTTTTTTATTCAAAGTCTATTAGCGATTCGAATGAAATTTTGAATGACATTTTTCAAATAAATAAATTTTTCGATTCTGCTTCGTTTCGTAGCTACAGGATGTTTAGAGTCTTTTTTCGATTTATTCTAATTTTGTTCCAAGTACTTTTCTTGTTTCGAATGAAATTTTGAGGGTAAAAGTTGCTATAACTGCGACATATTTTAAAGCTAAAAAAGTGTCGACATATTCATCAGGGACGTGCATATGGGTTATCACTGGAATATTTTTTCTAAAAAAAGCATGTATGCCACTGATTTTTTTTCTCTCTATAGGGAAATAGTGTAAGCAGTTTAATGGCGATTAAAAGTTATCTCTTGATATTTTGTCGATTTCGGTCTCCTTGATGAGATAAACGCAATTTTATTAATTTACCTTGATCCAACTCTGATAGCAATCTTAAAAAAATAATATCATTAACTTGCGAAAGTTTTAAATAAGTACTCATTGATTCCTCATCAAAAAATATGAAAAACAGCTCCTATGAACAAGGGTATGAAAATGCATAGTTTTAGAGTTACAGGATGTTAAATCTTTTTAAAATTGGTTTTTTTGTAATTATCTTAGATACCATTATTTTTTTATTTGAAATTGCTGTATGTTGGACTAATAGTAATAATAACTAATATAATAATATTTAATAATAAGTTAGGTAAAATATATAATTTAATTTTATTTTTATTTTAATTTTATTACCTAATTGTGATTAATAAAATAGCGTTTATTTCATCAAGGAGGTCGAACTCTATAAAACATTAAAAGGTAACTTTTAAACGGCCTACACAATTTTTACATCAAAAGAAAAAAGTCAGTGGGGTACAAGTTCTTTTTTGAAAAATATTCCAGTGATAACCGATTTTTTTGAAAAATATTCCAGTGATAATCACTTTTTTAGCATTAAAATATAATAGCATTTATAGTAACTTTTAACCTCAAAATTTCATTCAAATCACTAAAAGTACTTGGAAGAAAATTATAGGTTTGTTCCAACCTCGCTGAGTTCAGGAACGGTTCCGTTCATGCGCATAGGGCTAAAAGCGTTCCAACCTTGATAGGGATCGTTCTCGAACGATTCTCTTCGCGGTCCAATCAATTTTCTGATCGTTATTGGAACGGTTTCGGAACCGTAATTTCGATACTTGCCAGTAAGTGGGAACTGACATGCGCAGTTAGTAAATTTTATCAGCTGATTGACATTTGGGCCGGGGCGTTTGCTTGTTTTGTTTTGTGGATTTATTTGGAGTTTAATGGGTTTTAGTTTTTGGTTCTAATTCTTTCTATACTTAGAAATTGTCTATTTAATTTAGTTAGGGTTTAACATTTTACAGTTCACACTTTTCAACAAAAAAAAAAAACGAATAGTAAACCAAGTGAAACTTACGAAAATTATCGTTTGTGTCCATTATTTATTAATGTTGGTTGTAATTTACCACTTTTTTCAGTTTCCACGGTTCTATACAATTAATAAGAATATCTGTGAAGAATATTTTTAAGGTTTGTTTTGTTTACATCTTACATCAAACAAAAAGTGAGTATATTTTAACAGATGTTTTGACAAGACAGATTAAAAACGGTTCGGAAACTGTTCGATTGTCAATCTAGAATCGTTCAGAAACAGTGCCGAGTTAACGCATGCGGACAGGGGCGGATACAGGAATTTATTTTAGGGGGGCCCAAATGTAGATTATGCTTTTTAGGGCACCATTTTTAACCCAAAAGTCTAATATTTGACACAAATTATAGATTTTAGGAGGGGGCAGACCCCATGGGCCCCCCCTCTGTATCCGCCACTGCATGCGGATAAGACTAGTCCCAATGATTTCAGAACGGTTCCAGAACCGTTCTAAAACTTGGGGTGGGAACAAACCTTATAATAAATCGAAAAATTATTAAGACTTTAACACCCTGTAGCTACGAAACAAATCAGAATCGGACCTATGTTGATATGAAAAATAAATCTTATTTTTACGTGAGGAATCTCCCTACGAGAGATGGCAAATGTTTTTTGAAACACCCTGTATAATATTAATACTATTTTACCTATTACGGCTAAATTGAGACGTAATTTTTTTAACCATTCTTCTAATGTCTCTTCTTTTGTGATTAAATCGAGGTTAAAAGAGCTTCTAATTTTTTCAGCTTCTCCCACGATACTTTCCTGATCATCTAGATTATTTCGACTCGAAGACAAAATATCTTTTAAAGTTTGATGCTTCAATTTACTGTACAGCATTATTAAAAAGTTAGAAACATAAATTTACTTAGTATGCAGGAGGCTCCAAGAAGAACAACAGTTTGTATTGAAATGAAATTGTGTGAGCATATGTAGATTAATTCAGGGCACTTTTTAAAAATATAGAGTTCTACAGGGTGTCCCCAAAAATATTACATATCAGTGTTGTGTTTTTTGTAATGGAACACCCTATATATTAAGTGATTTTTGGATTCTAGGAGAAAAGTAAGGATTAAAAGTAAAGGTGATTTTTATTAGGGGAGTATATGACTAAAATGTAAGGTTTTTGACATATTTAACATTTTCTAATAATAAAAATTTTTCAATTTCAATAAAAGCTATCTGAATTGGAATTTACCCGGTATAGCACAATATGGAGTTAAAATAACTATTGTACATTTTAAATCAAATTAAAACTTGACCCAAAAAGTTATACAGGGTGAGACAAAATTCACCTTTAAAAGCAAGTTACTCTTTTATTATAGAATACCGTGTATATTATTTCGATATTCAATGAGGAATTCATGTCTCTTCAAAATACTATTAAGGTTGTCTACCTCTCAGACAAAGATTTTCCTAGATAATATTTTTATTTTTATAATTTAGTGTCAGTAGATCTTTATAATTTGATGAAATCTAGGTGACTGTGATATGTCTGACGTTACTTCACACACACACACACAACATAGCTGTCTAATTAGTCCAATTTTAACAACTAGTTATCATTTTGTGTAAGTTAAAACAAAAAAATCTCTGATATTTGCGGAAAATGGAAACTTATCCTATATCAGAGTATTGCATTTTATATGCAATTGCAAATTGAGATGCATTCACCAATTAATAGAATACTTAAATGCTCCAGCTTTTAACTAGTCTGGGCTTATTATGGGGATATGTTAAAGACAGTGTTTACAAAACTAGACCAACTAGTTTACAAAACTAGACCAACTATTGTCAATAACATGAGGGAAATGATTGTGGCTGCTTTTCGTAGTAAAACTCCACATATGCCTTTTAAAATGAAAATATCTTTTAAACAAAGAATCATTTTATGCAGTGAACAATGGCAGGTATTATAACAGGAAAGCAAGTATTTTGAGCTTTGATTTTATCTAGCTAATTTTTGTCATGTAATTACATCTTTATATCTAGTTTTAATTCTGTAATAATTGAAATGTGTTTTAAACGTGTATCTTTTTATTACTGTTGAGTATTTTGCTCCACATCCTTTAATTTTTCTTAAATTAACAAAAGACCTATCACAGCCAGATTTTTTCAAATAATAAAGATTAAAAAAAAATCATAAAAATTAAAATATCTAGAAAAATCTTTGTCTGAGGGGTAAGCAATCTTGATAATATTTTGAGAATATATGAATTCCTCATTGAACATCGGAATAATATACTAAGCGTTCTGTTTAAAATAAAGGAGTAACTTGCTTTTAAAAGTGACCAGTGTTCCATATTAATTTTGTCTCACTCTGTATAACTTTTCGGGTTAAATTTTAATTTGGTTTAACATACAATGCTTATTGTAATTAAATATCAGCTATTATTGAAATTTAAAATTTACTTGTTATTTTTACAAAATATGAAATATATCAAAATCCATACATTTTAGGCATATGCTTCTTTAATAAACTCACCTTTACTTTTTTCATAGAATCCGAAAATCAATTCCATTACAAAAAAACACAATTTTGGTGTGTAACTTTTTTTGGGGAAACCCTGTATAAGTCTATATATTTTTATAAAATGCTATCAATTAACATACATATTATGCTCCCAAAATTTAATTTCGATATAAACTGCTGTTCTCCTTGGAGCCTCCGCGTCGTATGCGAGGCGCCACCCTGTATATATACAATTTACCTAACAGCTTCCTCAGTTTGATTTTTTATAAAGCTAGTCCAGCATGCTTTAATGAGTTTCAGTTCGTCAATAAAATATTTCAGATCGTTTTCAGTTTCTAACTCTAATTGAGTTTTTATGTCTATATAAGTTCTGTGATTGCATAGAATTTCCTGGTTGACTTTCTACAAAAACAAGAATAGACAATTATTCGAAGTAGACAGTATATACAAGATAAGAATGAACAGTATGGGGATCTTAAAACCAATAAGATTGGTCACCCATGCAATTATGACCAATCTTTTTGTAGAATTTTTTTAAACTTTCACCAATTTGTACAGAAGTTACCTCTGTTACCTTTTCGGAGTGAAGGGGTGTTTTTCAAAGATGTGCACTTTTAACAAATCGCTCTAACTTTTTTTTATAGAAAATTTTGTATTCTTATGAAAACATTTCCAAAGTACCATTTTACGTAGAATGTAATGATTTAAGTATAATTTTTTTAAAATTAATAATTTAAAAATTATCAACAGAAAATTTTATTTTTTATATGGGGTACCCTGTATATTATTAATTCATTGAAAAGAATTTAAAATTACCTTTCCAAAAAGATAGATAGCATACTTGATATTTTGTTTGATTGCTCTTCGAGATATAGACTTTTTTAAAATTTACCCACTTTGAATAAGTAGGCTTTGAACGGCGCCGGCTGTAATGCAAAAAAATTCTAGCTGTGGACAGCAATTAAAACGAAAATAATATTTGCAATGAATGATTTAGAATTTTATAACAATTTAAACTATATTTAACAACACCAACACATTTAAAGTATATTAATAACAATAAAAATTAACAGTAAACCAAGACATGAGCTTTTGCTCCAGATGTTCGACATATCGACAGTCTTCTCTGATGGACAAACGAGACCGTTTTTGAACATATCTCGCGGAATTCATTAACTCAGTAGGAGTGAAAGATAACCTCGCATAACCGCTAAGTACTTCTAATTCGTGTCTAGATTATAGGCCCAATTTAAAAATAAGAATCTTTATTCTTCCGAAAAATCCATAGGCATTAAGTCTGGCGGCCTCGATGGCCAACGGCTGAGAACTAGGTTAGCTATTCAATTATTCTCTAAATTGGCTGCAAAAATTTGCTGATAACTTCAGCGATTTGAGGCAGTGCCTTGTCTTGATGGAAAAATATGTTTTCGAGTTCTGTTTTAGGGGCATTATCATCAATAAGGGGTCCACAAAGCCTACTAGTTAAAAGTGGTGAATTTTTAAAAATTCTGTATTTCGAAGGAGACTATAACTTAATATCAAGCGTGCTATATTTTTGAAAAAAAAGGTAATTTTAAGGTATTTTTACTTAATTAAAAATATACAGGGTGTCCCAACTAAAAAATCAACTTTTCTGTTGATAACTCGGAAATTATTAATTTTAAAAAATTATACTTAAACCATTAAATTCTACGTAAAAAGATGCTTTGGAAATGTTTTCATAAAAATACAAAATTTTCCATAGCAAAAAAGTTACAGTGATTTGTTAAAAATGCACATTTTTGAAAAATACCCCGTAACTCATAAACGGTAACAGATATCGATGTGCGGTTTTCACCATCATGTTTTTGACAAAAATTGAGCTCAGACACCGATATCAGTTTTCCCTTTAAAAACGTCGAATTTGACCCACCCTGTACATGTTCGTTGTAGAGGGTTGTAGGTACAAGTTTGCACAGGACTCTCGGTTAGGTTAGGTTAGGTTAGGTTAGGAAATAATTGGATTTTTTTGGATTATGATACTTGATGGTGTAGGATTGCGCAAGGCGCAACAGGCTTAATTGACTGTTTGATATCCTCCTGCTGTTCATTCTTATATCGGACGTACTGTATAATGACTCATTTAAAAACCTCAATCTCAAATTCAATAAATTCATCATATTCATGATGCGACTTGTAAGAAATTGATTTTAGCTTCTCATACGTTCCTTTTAGTATTCCTTTGAACTCTTGAGATTTTTCTAATTCAAGCTCGTTCAAATCTTTGAAAAATGCTTCAATAAGATCATGTTTCTTCTGGGTATAGTATTCGATTCTACTGTATATATCATCAAATGATTCTTTTTGCATATTATGTGCATTCTACAATAAACCTGTCTTTGAGTCCATTAAAATACAGGGTGGCGCCTCTCATACGCCGCTGAAGGTCCAGGGAGAACGGTAGTTTATATCGAAATGAAATTTTGGCAGCTTATGTAGATTAACTGAAAGCATTATATAAAAATATATAGAATTATACAGGGTGTCCCAAAAAAAAGTTACACATCAAAGTTGTGTTTTTTCTAATGGAACACCCTATATATTAATTGATTTTCGGATTATAGGAAAAAAATAAAGGTGAGTTTTATTAAAGAAGCATATACCTAAAATCTAAGGATTTTGAAATATTTCACATTTTGTGAAAATGAAGAGTAAACTTTAAATTTTGATAACAGCTACATAAATTTTAGTTGACATTGTATAGCCTAATATTTAATTACAGTAACCATTGTATGTTAAACAAAATAGAAATTTGACTCGAAAAGTTATACAGGGTGAGACAAAATTAATATGGAACATTAGTCACTTTTAAAAGCAAGGTACTCCATTATTTTAAAGGGAACACCCAGTATATTTCTTCGGTGTTCAATGGGGAATTTATATATCTTCAAAATATTATTAAGGTTGCCTACCCCTCAGACAAAGATTTTCGTAGATATTTTAATTTTGGTGATTTTGAGTCAGTAGATCTTTATTGTTTGAAAAAATCTAGATGGCTTTGTGATATATTTTTTGCTAATTTAACAAAAATTAAAGATTGTCGAGTAAAATACTCAACGGTAATAAAAATATACACGTTTAAAATATATTTTAATTATTACAGAATTAAAACTAGATATAAACCTATAATTATGTGACAAAAATTAGCTAGATGAAATCAAATGCTCAAAATGCTTCCTTTCCTGTTAACTGCATAAAATGATTGTCTTTTCAAAAGGATCTTTTCATTTTAAAAGGCATATGTGGAGTTCTACCTCGAAAAGCAGCTACAATAATTTCTCTCATGTTGTCGACAATAGTTGGTCGAGTTTTGTAAACACTGTTTTTAATATATCCCCATAAAAAAAACAGACTAGATAAAATCAGGAGCATTTAAGTATTCTATTAATTCTTTCTGATGTAGGATAAGTTTGAATTTTCGGTAAATTTCTGAGAAATTTGTTTGTTTTAGCTGACACGAAATGATAACTAGTTGTTAAAGTTGGACTAATTAGACAGCTATGTTGAAGGAACGTCATACATATCACAGCCACCTAGATTTTATCAAATAATAAAGATCTACTCGGACAAATCATGTAAATGAAAATATCTAGGAAAATCTTTGTTTGAGGGGTAGGCAACCTTAATAGTATTTTGAAGAGACATGAATTCTCCATTGAATATCGGAATAATATACTGGGTGTTTCATTTAAAATAAATGAGTAACATCCTTTTAAAGGTGACCAATGTTCAATATTAATTTTGTCTCACCCTGTATGACTTTTTGGATCATGTTTTAATTTGATTTAAAGTACAATAGTTAATTTAACTACATATTCGGCTATACCGGGTAAATTCAAATTTAGGTAGCTTTTATTGTAATTTAAAAATTGTTCTTTATTTCTAGAAAATGTTAAATGTGTCAAAAACCTTACATTTTAGTCATATACTTGTCTTATAGAACTCACATTTATTTTTCTTCCAGAATCCGAAAATCAATTAATATATAGGGTGTTCCATTAAAAAAACAACTTTGATACGCAACTTTTTTTGGGAACACCCTGTAGAACCCTCTATATTTTTAAAAAGTGCTTTGAATTAACCTACATATGCTCAGAAAATTTTATTTCAATACAAACTGTTGTTCTTCTTGGAGCCTCTACGGCGTATGAGAGGCGCCACCCTGTACAAACGTAATAGTTCAGAGTTACATCATTGTTCGCTCTCAGTTTAGCTTCAAAAATTTCATGTTTAATACACTCTCTTGTCTCTCCAGTGGACTTTTTAAGTTGTTCTACTTTTGAATTCGCAATGCTGACATATTTTTCTATTATTTCCTTTTTGGTTTTGCTTAGCGTTTCTATACATTCTATTTCGGCATTCTTTCTTTTCTCATATAATCTCTCAATTACTTTTGATGGTTTTGAACGGCCCACTTTGAAGAAGAGTTAATTTGGAAAAAGAACAAAGATATAACTTACCAAAATCATCGGGTAAACAACATGGATCATTATTGTCCATAATATTTAAATGGACATAATACTTTTGAATATTTCAATGTCAACGTTTTTTTGGTATAAATTTTGACATTAAAAAAAGGTTAGATATCATCTGATATCATCCATAAAATTGAGATATTACTTATAATTTGGATATATAGTCAAAGCTTGCAATCGTATATTGTAAAAGTATGTAATGTTCGTTTAGATTCGATTTTTGAGGTGCCTATTGGCCTAGTCCACTGTAACTTCTATAGATCTATTGGGATCTTTTTCTGATATCTAGGTTATATTTTCCAGTTCTATATTTTTCAAAAAGTTTAATAGCTTGGAGCCTGAACGCTCCATATAAATCTTTGTCAATGGCTTATCATTTCAAGATGATTTCATACAACAACGAAGCTATAGATAAATGAAACAAGTTTAGATTGGAAAGTGGTCATAAGGATAATGTAAACACTATTTGACGCTATTCTTCCAACGGTCGCGATCCGAAGCTTTTGAAAATTTCCGAGCGGTTCGGCTTTTTCCGGAATTATATCGCCAAATATTATTTATTTAAATATATTATTATTTTCTTTTAATTTTATAAATAAAATACAGTGTGTTGCATACAAGAAACTTTATTTTATATAAGAACAAGAATGAAATACCTATGTAACATTGGAAACCGACGCCGACGTTATGCCACGATCCACGATGGTTTTTGCAGTTCACAGTTCACAGCACAGCTTTTAAGTTTTTAATACCACTTTTTCACAATTACCTCGAGTTTGAGTAAATAAAGCTTAATTAATGAGAGCGGTTTAGATTTTGAAAGGTTTTATAATTTTTGAAGATTCTGACTTTGACAAAAGATATGGACAAGAGAGAATTATTTCTGTTTATGTTTGCGGTTGTTCTTAGCAACCGCTATAACAGCGCCAGATCGCGTACAACGGTCGCGACCCAAAACAATTTTGCAACCCAAAATTTTGACGGGCATTCCAATATAATGAATGAAGCTCACATTTGTCAGACTATCACACTGATCTGATGACATGGCTTTGTTTAACTGTCCAATCAATTTTAGATGAAAGAAAGCAAGAAAGAAATTTTAGCTTTCAAGCCGCATCAGCATCAAAGGCTATTTAGCGGCGTATCATCTGCTACTTTAGTTCGGTACAATATTTGACAAAAAATAAAAACTAAACAACACGTTTATAGACAGATTGTATGTGTTAACAGTACAGACATTGATTTTGTAAAAATAAAGTAAATTGTACAGAACAACATAGAATAAAACAATAAAACGTAAAAATATGTACAATTTAATTAGTAATTGGTAGCTTTAAACCAAAATGTAGCTTTTTAGATACCTATATTTTAGATATATAACCCGATCTTTCCAGAAAATCAAAAAGTTTTGGTTGCTCACTTGTAGAAAAAATAACTGACATGTCTGACGAAAGATTGCAGGCCTCTCTTAGGTTAATTAACTGATTACATTCCTTAAGGATATGTTTGACAGTTAAAGGATTACTACATTTATCACATAGAGGCGGTGGTTGGCCCTTAAGCAAAAATTGATGAGAAAACCTACAATGCCCTAACATGAGTCTGTTAATTACTACGGCTTTGCGACGATCATGACTCGATGTGGAGAAACCACAGAAGAATATCTTTTTGACATTCCAGAGTTTGTTAGGTTCCTCCAGAAGATCCCACTCCAGTTGAACCAGGGATTTGCACAGTCGGGCGATTTTTGTGAGCAGACAACCCGTGGAATAAACTGATAACCTATCTGTACCGTTTAGACGTGCATGTTTTGCGTAACGATCAGCGCTTTCATTACCGGTAATGCCCACATGGCTAAGGATCCACAATACAGATATATTGGAACCCTGGCTAGTTGCCCTATGTCGCAAATCCATTATATGTGCTTCCAAAGGATGTTGGGACGTAAAGTTTTTCTATACATAGTTGAGCAGATAATGAATCCGAGCATATCAGCCAAGAAGCCCGAGGACAAGAAACGATATATATTAGAGCCCCCTTAATGGCTAGAAGTTCTGCATTTAATATATCATTGTAGGGATGTAATCGGAATTGACTAACTTTGAATTGATTAACTAAAAGCACAACCAGTGTGAACACTTGTTACTGAACCGTCAGTCAGTATAAATTATGTTTTCAGGATTGTATTTGGATGATATTTCAGCAAATTTGATTCTCATAAATGAGCCAGGTACTAGCAAAAATTTGCATACTACGGGAGGAGGAATAATCCAAGGCGGATTATTTGGAGGATTTCGAGACACGACCTGATTCATATCGCCATTTAGTCCAATATTAATCAATTTTGTTATAAGGGAAGGCCTTGAAACACTGTCAAAGGTTGATTTTATATCTAATGAAACTGATATAAGGTGTTTGTTACCACAAAATGAGGACCATATATCGTTCTCAAATCCAACCAAATGGTCTGTAGTAGATCTTAAAGGTCTAAAACCGAACTGGTTATCGTTTAGCAGTGAGAAGTGCTCAATAAGTCATGATAACCGGGATTGTATCATGCGTTCTAGAATTTTACCAAAATGATTGGTTAGAGAAATAGGACGATAGCTTGATGGAGAAGTACCTGATTTTCCTGGTTTTAGAATAGGAATTACGACTGATTCTCTCCAGGCATTAGGCAATTTTTTTTCCCCATATGTCGTTGTATATATCAAGTAGAATCAATTGTAGGGAAGGAGGTAGAGACTTGATCATAGGTATAAGAATACCGTCCGGACCTGGTGCACTGGGATTTATATAAAGAAAAACTGAGTTTTCTGAGAGTAAAAGGAGCATTTAGAGCAGAAAGAGATTGTTCCTGAGCAACTGTGGGACAGTTATAAATATGTATGTAGATATCGATGGTCCACCCTAAGAAATTTGGCTATAATGTTCAGCCAAGCATTCTGCTACTTCGAATCTATCACTGTAATATGTTGAATCCTTAATAAGGCCATGAATGGATCTTGAGGGTCTACCTTTAAAACTCCTGATAGTATTCCAAAAGTCGGTAGAGGAAGAAGCAGAAAGAGAATCAATCATAGCAATCCAAGAATTGCGTTTAGCATAGGATATGATTAGTTAAGCCTTTGCTCTAAGTCTCTTGTACTGTATAAAGTTATCCTGAGTTGGATGATGTTTAAATCTGGATAGAGCAGTTTTTCTTTGTCTGATGGCCAAATGACAGCTATCTGTCCACCATGGAGCAGGTGGACGATCTGGCCTAAAGGTGTAAGAAGGGATGGAAAGATCAGCTGTTTCTTTGATGACATTGACCATACGATTAATGTTTCCATTAACATCTCCAGGGATTACCAGTGGTTTATTTATTATTGTTTGGTACTTAATCCAATCAGCCTTAGACAAGTTATATATCGATCTATGAGGAACGTAAGGAGACCATGGGAGAAAAGAGAGAATAATCGGGAAGTGGTCGCTGCCACACAGATCCTCTAATACAGTCCATTGTATTTTTTGTGCTAAAGATTGGGAGCAAAGGGATAGATCAATTGACGAAAAAGAACCTGACGCCATTGAGAAATGGGTTGAAGAACCATTATTGATGCCTATTGAACCTACAATGCTCTGTTAATCGAGTTAATAGTGTTTGCTCTGGTGAATTTTTCCACCAATCTAGAGATTTGTTAGCTAGACCTTTGGTGGCAAAGAAAATGTAGTCTTAGTATCTAAAACTAATGTAACATTGTAACATTTCTAACACGTCCCAATATACAAGGTGATTCAAAAAGCATGTGCCATCTCTCGTGGGAAGATTTCTTCTCAGCTCCTCCATAAGCTTTTGATTCTCAGCACTAGGTATCTTGCTAATATGCTGTTATGTCATGTTTCATATATCGCACATCCCGTTCAAACCGAATTAAACTCAAAATAGGAAACCTTGTCAAGAGAAGCAAAAGAAAATTTAAGTTATTATTATTAAGTTATACATGGTTTCCCAGGCTGAGCGCGCATTAGAAGTTTCTACAGAACTACAATAGCTAGATCGGAGATTTTTTGCACATCATTGTTTCACAACGAGATCTATAGATTAAAAATATTTTCAATATGGCGGCACTTCCGGAAATACCGGAAGTTGACAGAAACTTTTTTATTTTAAATGGGTGCCCGCATTTTTTATTACATACTTGTATTCTTGGACTGTGATTGATGATGACTATGATTTTGAAACACTCTATACCTAAAATTAACCGTTTTTGAGAAAAATATATTTAAAATTTTTGGAGGAATTTTTTAATTATACATGTTCGTATATCTAAAATAAATCATTTTAGTTATTTAAGATTTAGTTTTAAAGCGACATTTTTCTTGATTTTATCTAGCTTCCTTTGACATTAAATGTCAAACAATCAGTAGTAAATTCATTTATTTCCTTTTGTCAAAAAACTAATTATTTGAATTTCGTATATTATAAATACTACTGCCTAAACCTTTATAAAGTGTACTTATAACAATATATCTCGTATTTTAGTGATTTCTAATACTGGATATTAATAATATATTATAGGATTGAAAAAAAAACGGCGGAAAGTTGGCTTGGAAATGACGATGGATTACATACTAATTTTTTAACAATGTGTGTGCAATATGACATGGACATATGACAGATATATTGTTTTATATCGCTTGACGCTTAAATTCATAGGCTACTGGTTGAAAACCAGGAAAATATACGATTTAAAACTAAATCCTAAATACCTAATTTAAAAACTATTTATTTTAGGTATAGGAACATGAATAATCAAAAAGAAACAAATTTAAAAACATTATCACTAGGGAAATAAAAATGGTGTTTCCATTTGAAAAAAAAATGATTTATGATAATTTTTTAATCTCTCAGTTCCATAACAGCTACGGCCAATAATATGACATTTAAACACTTTAATTTTTGAAATAGATAGCCACATGTCTTCTCTTTATGTCACAGTGGCTGTGGTAATTATTAAATTTGAAGTTTTGGTTATCCAATTTTTGTTGACAGGCAGGTTTTTTCCTCGAAAAATTTTAAATATTTTTTTCTCAAAAACGGCGAATGTTTAATATCAAAATTTATAAAATTTTATAGAGAATTTAAATGTGCAATAAGAAATGGAAGTACCTATTTAAAATAAGAAAGTTGCTGTCAACTTTCGATATTTTCCGGAAGTGCCGCCATATTGAAAATATTTTTAATCAATAGACCTAATTGTGGTGAAACAATGATGTGCAAAAAATCTTTGATCTAGATATTGCTGTTCTCTAGAATTTTTTTATTGCACGCTCAGCCTGGGACACCATGTATATTTAACTATATTTACATAACTACTAATATTAATTGTTATAAATTAATGGACTGTGATAACTTAATGGATTTGTGAATTGTCAAAACATTTATGATCTTAAGTATAATCCAACTTAACAAACTTTAAATACGTTTTTGATATCTCTTTTTCGTTACCAATAAAATTTATTGTTGACGAAGGAGGGTTTATTATTATTATTAAGTAAATAATTAAAACGAAAATTTATTGCACTGCAAGTTTTATAAACAAAATTCAAATTTTTCTTAATAATTTTATTAAAACAAGTTAAAAACATAACAAAAAAATAAATAAATAGTTAAAAGGCAAGAAGTCTTACAAGTGAATAAAGTTTCTTAAATAAATAAATAAATACAATAAATAAATAAAAATGAAGTGTACCTAAACTTAATTTTGAAATGAAGAATTAATACGAGATTCATTTAAAAATATTTTATGGAGATGTTAAAATGGTGATGGTGTTATTTTCTAGAGTTCACTTTATGCCCAAAGTCTCTATCGGTCTCCTCTACATGTGCAGGTTCTTCGTCTGAGTAATCTTCATATTCCGTTTGGTCGTTTTCACTCTGACCAACTCTATCGGTTTTTTGATTGGTATTTTCTTCATCTTCATCATAACTTTCTGAAGAGTCATTTTCTATAAATAAAATAGTTACGTTTGTGGAGTATTTATTTCGGCAAATTTGTGGAAATGTTGCTGTAATTGCAATTATTCGCATTAAAATTTATAAGTTAATTAGTTTGAATAGTCCACTTTGCTTTTACTTTAAGAAAAGGCTTGAAAAAAAATATCAATATGACTCCTACCTCTAGAGGGTGCCACCTACATACTTTTAACTGGTTTGAAGAGTAATAACTTTTCGTACGTATCTGTATAAAACTACTGAGTAAAAAATGTTTATTTACGACGTTTTTTGCGTAAAAAAGGTCTTTGCTAAAAATCGCTACGAGTAATGGTTCTCGAGATACTTGAAATCAAAATTATCAATACCTATCATCATTGACATAAATTAAACATGTTGGCTAAATAGTTATTAGATTGAAATCATAAATTTGAAAGGGTTTTGTGCCAAAAGTTCAACAGAATCTGTTTTATCATCATATCAAAAAGTTACAATTAATTTAAATAATAATAAAAAAAATCCCAAATTCATTATTTTAGTCAAATAACTATCACTCAACGTGTTTATTTGTTGTCAATAATGACATGTATTGGCTATTTCCATTTTAAATATCTTGAGAATGGTTGCTCGTAGCGATTTTTATCAAGAGACATTAATTATGTAAAAAATCAAGGAAATGTATATCTTTTCACTCAGTAGTTTTATACAGGTACGGACGAAAAGTTATTACTCTTCAAAACAGTTAAAACACATGTAGTAAGGTACCGCCTCCTCCAAATATGAGTCATATTGACATTAAAATAAAATTTCTCATATCAAAAAACTCTCAGGCACTAATTTTCGTTCAAATAGTGGCGTTATTTCAGAAATTATTTGGAAAAAATCGAAATAAAAATGAAACTTCTACACGCTGTATCTCTGAAACTAAGCATTTTAGGACGTACGAACTTTTTTACTTTTTATCTGCCGAATATGCTGCCCAAGTTTCCGGAATAAAGTTCGGACCGCCCTGTATACTTTATACTATTTTAAATAGTTTTTTGTGTATTGAATGATGGTGAAACATATACTCCTTAAAACGATGGGTTAGTTTTATGGTTGCTGAAATGTGAAGCACCACTGTGAGTTTTTGTGTATTTTAAAGCTAGTAATTCTTTATAGAAAATAAATATTTTGGTCTTTAAAGTTTCAGTTTTTTTCAGTTCCTATATTTCCAGAAATATATAGATAAGGAATAATATGTGTAAATATAGTTAAATAATATTTCTTACCCGTTTCGGCACTGCCAATTTGCATTAAGTTACTGTTAACTCTACCGGCTGCTTGAAGTTTAGCTAGTCGTTCAGCAATTTCCTGATTAGGTAGAGTACTGTAAAACGACTTTAATGAACCATTATCAGTATCTTTGCGCTTAATTTGTTGTTCTTCAAAGTTTTCTTGTCTAAAAAATATAAAGAGATATAATTAATAGGAATGAACCTGTCCAGTGCAAGATATAGTATTTGTTGTGTTGTTGTCTGCCGAAATCACCATATTGTTGTATGGATTTCTCCAATATTTTGGTACTAAATGATAAAAAAATTGAATGAACACTTAACCAAACCGGATCAAAGAGTTCAAAGAGGAAACATTGGGCATTCTAACTATACAAGTCTATTTAAGAAAAATGTGGATATTTGATTAAAATGAAGCAATACTTCTCTATGAACAGTTTGCTTTATTTTAAGGAGTTCTTTAAAAAGTTTCAAATATATTTTTCTGTTAAATAAAATGGGAAAAATTTATTCATCATTTTTAAAATTTACATGGAATTTTCTATGTATAAGAAAGGGCGGTGTCTCTGCTGAGAATTTATTTCAATACAATTTAAGAGCCGTAGCACTTAGCGCTATATGTTACTATAAATGTCCGAAATGCGGTAAAACCTAGGATTTACCAAAATCAAGTGGTAGTTAAAACCAACCAACCCCACTAAATAACCACCTAACCAATGCATTAACACCCCCCAAATAACCAGGCGAACCAATGCATTAACACCCTCCAAATAACCAGGCTAACCTAATTAGTTAATGTCTTTGGTACATCCTAGGTTTAGCGTTCTTATCCTAGGTTTTACCGCATTTCGGACATTTACAGTAGCATATACCCCGCTGGCAAGGAAACCTTTAGGTCGGCGTTTATATGTATAGGAGTGAGTCGTTATGGCAATCTAGTAAGTCGGAGTGAGCAAAAATACGGAGTATTTATTACATAACTACTTAATCTGACGCTAGATTCCATGCGCTTGGGAAAATGCTCGCTTTCTGTCTTTATTCAGTACATCTTATTTTACTAAGCGTGGTTGACCGTACTCTTCGTACACATGAAAACCGGCACCCAAGACCAGAAATGCCGACCCTTAGTATATTGTTGATTACAGAACTTAGGATATTTTACATTTAGTTATGACGATTTTTTTGGCACTTACATAGACACCTTATGTCCTTTTTGGAAATAGGTGTTTAAACCTTGGACAAGAACTTCATGTTATGTTTATTTGTAAACTTCTGTTTCTGTCTGTTTTTTTACTATAAATGTTCTGGCGAATTAAATAAAATGATAAATTATGTTAAATTTAGTTAATTCTGTTAAACCAAATCAAATAATGGGTGTTAACAATGTACAGGGTGGGTCAAATTCGACGCTTTTAAAGGGGAACACCCTATATATTTCTACAGGAAATTTAATAATTAAGGAAAACTAATACTTGTGTCTGGAGTTCAATTTTTATCAAAAACAATGATGGTGAAAACCGCACATCGATATCTGTTACCGTCTATGAGTTACGGGGTGTTGTTGAAAAATGTGCATTTTTAACAAATCGCTGTAACTTTTTTGCTATGGAAAATTTTGGATTTTTGTGAAAGCATTTTCAAAGCACCTTTTTACGTAGAATTTAACGATTTAAGTATATTTTTTTTTTAAATAAAAATTTAAGGGTTATCAACAGAAAAAATGATTTTTTATATGGGACACCCTGTATATTTTTAATGAAGCGAAAAGAACTTAAAATTATTTTTGCAAAAATATAGCACACTTGATATTTTGTTATAGTCCCCTTCGAAATACAGAATTTTTAAAAGTTCGCCTCTTTTAACTAGTATAGGCTTTGGACCCTTTATAGATGATCTGCCCCTAATGGAACTCGAAAACATATTTTTCCAGCAAGACGAGGCACCGCCTCAGAACGCTGAAGTTATCAGCACATTTTTGCAGCCAATTTCGAGAATAATTGAATAGCTAACCCAGATCCCAGCGGTTGGCCGTCGAGGTCGCCGGACTTAGTGCCTGTTATCGTTAATGGATTTTTATCTTTGTGGAAGAATAAAGGTTCCTATTTTTAAATTGCCCTTATAATCTAGACAAGGATTAGAAGTACTTAGCGGTTATGTGAGAGGGTATCTTTCACCCTCCCTTGAGTTAATGAATTCCGCGAGAAATGTTCAAAAACGGTCCCGTCTGTCCGTAATAGAAGACGGTCGGCATGTCGAACACCTGTAGCAAAACCTCTTGTCTTGGTTTGCTACTAAATTTTATTGTCATTAGATATAGTTTAAACGTGTTGATGTTGTTAAATATAGTTTAAATTGTTATAAAATTCTGCATCTTTCATTGCAAATATTATTTTCGTTTTAATTGCTGCTCACAGGGTAGAGTTTTTGCATTACAGCTGGCGCCGCCGCGCCGCCGCACACTGGAACGACTCAATGCTAAAGAGTGGACATTGGCTGTTTTAAAAAGTTCGAAATTTCTAGCGTTTTAACGTAAATACTTTTTGTTTTAAGACATATTGGTCTTCTAACCAATCTAGTAACACATTATAATACGCTTTTTGCTACTACCACGTTGAAAGCGGGACAACGATTTTGGTAGAAAATGAAAAAACGTTTAAACAAGGCCGATTTTACATCAACTTTGGTTGTGATTTAAAAATAGAAACGAAAATGTATATCTATTTTCTGTAAAGTGGATAGTAAAATGACTTCTTGGGATACAATTAAACAATGAACAGTCAAGAAAGAATGTATCTCAGTGATGAGGTGTTTATTTAACTTTATTACTGCAAGAAAAGTAAAAAAAAAATTTTTTTTTGGACTATAAAAAAATGTAACCAGATGTAATTCACGGAATCATCTATAATATAAAGAACTTACCTTACAGTAACTTACTAAATGAAAATTAGCTGCAACTAGCTGCAACTTTAAGAAATATTATTTTTATAACGCAGGTCTACCTCTTTTTAGATGCACTTGAATCTAAAACTTATGGTATCCTAATTAGTGTTAAAAACTTAGCTATTGAGGATAGTTATTTGTGCATATACCAAGGCCTTAAACTGATATTTTTGGCCGAATCCCAATATTTATTATTAAACAGTTTTCCTCAATATGTTTCTCATTTATGTTTTCTAGGTGTACGCATTATGCAACTTTAGATGTGATTATAGGCCGTAGCTGAGGTACAGCAAATTTCTGTCCAAAAAAGATCATTCGGCGGGGGTTGGGACACGATTTTTGGCGACCCTTTTTACCAATTATATGCGATACATTATCAAAATGTCTGTTCTTAAAAAAAGAAATAGGTAAATGGCACTCTAGTAGGCGAATGTTATCTTGAATTTATAAGTTTTATTAAAGTTGCTATGTGTAGCGGCAAACTGGGAAGTCTGACAACAGCGCTAATATTGATATTTGATATTCAAGTCCGCATGCTCAAAACTCTTAAATATCAAACTTTTTAAACCCGACTTTAGCGAGGATAATTATTGACATTATTAAGTCTCCACCTGTATATGTATTAAATTTGTCCACCATTTTGAGTTTTATTAAATGTTCAATTTTATAATAATTTTAAATTATATGGAGTACTATTCTTTCTTTAAACTGCCCACAATTCTCAAAATCGAAGGTGTTCCTTGCTTTTGCTCATAAACTATAATAATAATAGTGTCTGTATTTACAATAATGTCCGCCATCTTAGATTTTTAGCAAATGTCAAATTTTATAATAAATTCCAATATTGTAAGGTGTTCTCTATACGAATTGGTCAAAACTATTAAAATCGGACATTTCATTGCAATGTTAAAAACTCTATATTTCGAAGGGGAATCGAACAAAATATCAAGTATGCTATATTTTTGGAAAAGTAATTTTAAGTTCTTTTCACTTAATTAAAAATATACAAGGTGTCCCATGTAAAAAATCAAATTTTCTGTTGATTATTCTTAAATTATTAATTTTAAAAAAATTGTACTTAAACCATTAAATTTTACATAAAAATGTGCTTTAAAAATGTTTTCACAAAAATACAAAATTTTCCATAGCAAAAAAGTTACAACGATTTGTTAAAAATACACATTTTTGAAAAATACCCCGTAACTCCGAAACGGTAACAGATATCGATGTGCGGTTTTCACCATCATGTTTTTGAAAAAAATTCAGCTCCAGCCACCGATTAGTTTTCGTCTATCTCCTATAGAAATGGGTGTTCCTCTTTAAAAGCGTCCAATTTGACCCACCCTGTACATTGAACATAGTAAAATAAATTTAAAATAATATTAAACAATTAAATCTCTAAAACACTGTTCTTACATTTTCTAAATTCTTAATTTATGTAATGAACATCTCACCTTGTTCCAAAGTAGTTCTGCACGATTTCAGCTTGCTTCAAAGGATCGACTACTGTTTGAGACCCATCTCCGTTGTGTTGAACCAGGTCTCCTAAACTGTACGTAGCCGACACGTAATTAGTATTCTCACCTACGGTAGGTAGCATAATTAATATATTAGAAAGCTAATTCATTTAATAGATAATTACACGCACCAGTTTTGGTTTGAGCTTGATGTGCCTGTTCGTCATAGTTGAACGAATGGTATTCAGGTTGAATATGAATTACTTTCTCGCTGGATGCCTTAAAACCAATTGTCTATCAATTAAAATTGGTACGGAATGAATAATATTCTTACTTTTACAAAACCTTTATTAAATTATTTAATTTACAATTAGTTTTTACAGTAAGCGCGTTTAGTAAGTAAACCGAGTGATAAAATCGTCGGTTTACAAGCAAAACACACTAAATCCACTTATTTTAATTTTTATTTATTTATATCATTTGACTAGATTTCTTCTAGAATATAGATCTATATCCAGGAAAAATCTGCTGTATACTTTCTAAAAATTATAAGTTTAATTTTTAAATTAGTTTCATAATATTCATTAAGTCCATAATGGCGCTATATTAGTTCACTATAACTAGGAAATCCCATGCAAATTTTGAACTGCTCAAATATTGGTTTTCCAGCGAAGTCGTAAATAGATTTTTTAAAGGTTTATGTATGGTAAATACACATGCCAAATTTGAACAATTTTGGACCAGCCGGTTTTGAGTAATTTAAAAAAGATTGCTACTATTTTTAAATTAAAACCGTAACAGGTAACAAACACCAGTCAGTGGTCAGGTAGGTTTACAAACTATGATTTTGTCATTGTCAAAAGTATCTAATTTAATTTTAATATTCAGGGGAAATTAACCGAAACATGTCAGATACACTGTCTAAGCTATTTCCTGCATAGTACCATTTTATCACTTTTTCTTTGTGTGTATAACAATAAATGATTACTAGTACTGAATATTAAAATTAAGTTACGTTTGAAAATGATGCTGACAACTTATGTTATGTCGGTTTTTGACTGGTGTTTGATTGTTACCTATTCAGTTTTCAAAAATCGATTCAGTTTTTCTCAAATTACTCAAAATTGGCTTGTCCAAAATTGTTCAAACCTGGCATGTGCGTTTACCAAACGTAGAGCTTAAAAAATCGATTTACGACTTCGCTATAAAATCAATAGGGGAGCCAATATCTGGACAGTTCAAAATTTGCACGGGATTTCCTATGTTTCCAACGACGATGCACCACCCTGTATGGAGCGGTTCATGGCGATGCGTGGGTTAGACGTTTATGGAGAACCGGTGACTGGATTTTTTTTAAATTGGGATCTTATGTAAAGGTGCCTGCTCCATCTATCTAAACTATTTTCAGCATCACAATGTTGCTGCATCAATTAAAAAGTAGTAGCAGCTTCGATATTTTATATGGACCATTCTTTGTATTTTCATGATTTTTCTATTGTACTATCCTGAGTATCCTGTATTTATCTCTAATAATTTTCCATATAAAATATAACACATACATTACAGGGTCCGGCAATAGTTTGTCGTAGCTCCTAGAATAAAAACTTGGGAATTTTGTTTAAGTGCAATCGTAAAGTATGTACTAGGATGTATTTCAGGAAAATATTTTAACTACTATAGGGTGGCTTAAAAAAGTGTGAAGGGATCGGGATGATTTTTTTTAAATGGAACACCTTGTATATTATTGCATTTTTGGTTTTCTTTCAAATCACTTTACATAATCCTAAGATACGTGTAAATCGATTTCTATAGTTTCAGAGATATTAGTAAATAAATAAAAAATATATATTTTTCAGCATTCCTTAAAAAATTATATTAAAAAAATACTTGTCCTGCGATCAAAACTATATTAGGTATTTACTTTAGATAGTCTGTACTTACTTTGCTATAAATATGGTAATCGTAAATCATACAGGATGTTCAAAATTCTACGCCAAACTTTCTAAAATTTAAATAATTTTTCTGCGTTTTTTTAATGGAACGCCCTGTATATTATTTTTTTCAATAGATGGAGTATTAAAAAATATACAATTTTTGTACTTAGAGTATTTCATAATTTTTAACGGTTACGGAGATATTCGCCGTTTTATATTTCATATGACATTTCCAAAGTAAATTTTTCTCAAAGCCAGCCAATGATTTTTTTCCTGTTTTAACGGCTGAACGAGTCATATAAAGTAATACTGCATATATCTGCGAAACCATTAAAAATTTTGAAATGCTTGTTATTTGAATGATAATTTTTTGTATTTAAAGTATTACTTTCGGTTTGCACTTCTTCGGTTGCAAAATTCTGAAGTTTTTTATTCTAGGAGCTACTGATACCCGACCCTGTAGAATATATGTAGGTATAGTATACTACAATAGGAAAATCATTAAAACTAAAGTTTTTTTTCGAAAAATGTACTGAAAATAATATATGTATCCTTTCTTCTTCAAAATTTTTTAGAAATGTAATGGTGAATGTTTAGAAAGTTTTTTAACTTCCGTAAAAATTTTAATGCCTTTCTTCGATATGGAAATTGATATATTTATCTGTTTTTCAAATTAAATCATTTACACCCTTGAAAAAGGAAATAAAATTTCTGAAAGCTTAGCGTATGTAATAAACTGTTTAATTATTTGCCATCATTACAATTGATTGGCCAAGACCTCTCTGTATTACTGGAAAATAATACACTAGATAGATGGAGCAGGTACCTTTATGGTAATAAGCAAATTTTCCAAAAAAAATCCTATTATCGGTTCTCCATAAATGGATACCTGCTAATGATAAAACTGCTCCCATAGTTATTTATATATTCCTAAGATTTATCAAAAAACATCCCACTTTCTAAGTTTAAGTAAAACATATTCCTACCTGTTCCGGTTGGTAATGCTGAACATAACCAGGTTCCGCTTGCAAGAACTGTTGTGCCAATAACTGCGGTTGCTGTTGGATAAAACTAGATTGAATGGCTTGGGTTTGTGTCTTTGGTGCATTATAAGCTGCATTCATAGCCTGTAAATTCAAATTGTATTAATTTGCTACAACTCTCTTGATAAAATACTCAAACCTGATAGTGTTTTGAGTTGGAAAACATCATGTCCTCGAGATTCTCGTTATTATTATCCTGATTTTGAGCGAAAGCAATGTTAATGCCATGATCTCCGTTGTTTTGAATGGTCAATCCCAAATTATCCTGAGGGAATAGTGTAGACTGTAGATTCTGGAATAGAGGAACATTGTTTTGTTGTTCTAGATTTTGAATATTGAGTTGGTGAGGTGAAATATGTTGATACGACGCGCTAGGATTCTGGTCCAATTGATGTGTGGCATGATTCAATTCGTCTCGAATAAAATGTAATGGTACTTGTTCGTTTGGTTCGGTGACTTGGTATTGATGCACCACTGGAGGTTCCTGTTGCAAACAAAAAATAAAAAAATACTTTTAAAATCCTCTATTAACGTGTTATAAAATTTATAAGAATAATTTTACTACTTAAACAAAATATTATTGATTTAACTAATAAACGTAATAAAATGTATTTTTTCTTATAGTACTCTTACTGCAATGAATTGGTGTTTTTGTTGTTGCTGCTGCTGTTGTTGTTGTTGTTGTTGTTGTTGTATTTCCTGGTATCGTTGCTGTTCTATTTTACGTTTCAAATGATTGGACTTATCGGCAGGTCCTAAATTTGGTGCTGGTATTGTATGAATAGGACCTATAACAATTTATTAATTTAAATTAACCATATTGTAATATTATAATATTAATTATTATTTAAACTTATTTTGCTTCTTCGTAAAGTTCGTGATTCAATTACCATTATATATTTTCACCTTCAACTATACATTTTTTAATACCGGGTGCGTTTTAAAAGTGGCCCATCCCTATAACTTTTTTATTTTTTCAGATAAAAAAATTGGGATTGATTGACGTATTCAATTGTTTTTAGTCACTTCTTGTTTCACCGGAAATGACTAAAACTTTTGATTTTTAAATGACAACCTCGGTATTTTTTTAATTTATTTGAGAGAAATTGACACTTTAAATAGAATGACATATCATATGTCAACTTTTGACATTTTCGCTTTAAAAAAAATCGTATTTTAAATTTCAATCTAGAGTGCCATGGTTGGTGCCATTTAAAAATCCAAAGTTACAGTCATTTCGGGTGAAACAGGAAGTGACAAAAAACAATTGAATACGTCAACATACTAACATACCAAATCTCGTTTTTTTATCTGAAAACATAAAAAAGTTATAGGGGGTGAGCCACTTTTGAGACGCACCCGGTATACATAATATCGTTTTCATACATAGTTACACAGGGTGGTCCGAACTGTATTCCGGAAATTTCGGCAGCATACTCTGCAGATAAAAATAAGTAAAAAAGTTCCTATAAATGTATGTCCTAAAATGCTAGTTTTGGAGATACAGGGTGTAGAAATTTAATTTTTATTTGTTTTTTCCTAGTAACTTGTGAAGTAACGTCAATATTTAGATAAAAACTGGTTGTGGGGAGGATATAAGAAAAAAATTGGTTGTGTTGGATTGGATGCTAGAAGTTTTTTGACACGAGAAATTTGATTTTGTTATCAATATGACTCCTACTTGTAGGGGCACGCCAACATATTTCCTAACTGGTTTGAAGAGTAATAACTCTTCGTCCGTACCTGTATAAAACTACTGAGTAAAAAAATATACATTTACGACGTTTTTTACGTAAAAAAAGAAATCTTGGTAAAAATCGCTACGAGTAATCTCAAGATATTTGGAATCAAAATTATCATTACATGTCATTATTGACATAAATTAAACATGTTTACTAAATAATAGTTTAGACTGAAATCATAAATTTGAAATGTTTTTGTGCCAAAAGTTCAACAGACAATGTTTTATCATTATTTTTTCAAAGAAAAATTTATGATTAATTTAAAAAAATATAAAAAGTTTCCAAATTTACAATTTCAGTCAAATAACTATCTACTCAACATGTTTATTTTTTGTTAGTAATGATATGTATTGTCTATTTCCATTCTAAATATCTTGAGAACGCTTGCTCGTAGTGATGTTTACCAAGAGTCATTTTATACGTAAAAAATCACGGAAATGTATATTTTTTCACTCAGTAGTTATTACTCTTAGGGCCGATTCTACAAAGCAAGTATAAATTCGGAATAATTATTCTTCGAACATTTTATACTTCTTGAAAGAAAATTTTAATAGATATTCCAAGAATTCGTTGTACCTGGTATATACTTGCTTTGTAGAACCGGCACTTAGTATAAGCTATTACTCTTTAAAACAGTTAGAACACATGTATGTGGCGCCCCCTACAAATAGGAGTCATACTGACATGAAAATTAAATTTATCATATCAAAAAAAAACCAGACACTAATTTTCATCCAAATATTGACGTTAGTACAGAAATTATTTGGAAAAAAATCGAAATAAGAATGAAACTTCTACACCTTGCATCTCCAAAACTAAACATTTATACAAACTTTATTACTTATTTTTATCTGCAGAATATGCTGCCGAAATTTCCGGAATACAGTTCGGACCACCCTGTAGAATACTTACGTACCTATTTCTCCAATTTGCTTGATAGGATGAGCATTGACAGGTATATTATTGGTTTGAAGATGGTAGTCGTACTCGGGGATACTCGGTGAAGATATGAAATTGGGCTTTTCAGGTTTAGCTACGAAAAACATTGAATAAGTAATTTTATTTTAAATTACATTTTGTTGCTTACGTAAAATACTTGGTATTATTTTAGTTTCTTGCGGGAATTGTAGTAAATTCGGAGAAGCACTGGGTGCTTTAAATTGTACAGGATTTTTAAAGAACCCTTTACCAGGTGGTATCCTTTGCTGCTTGTTCTGTTGGAATTTTGGTACACCGAAATTATTATGTTGGAGATGCTGTGCTGGACCAACATTATGATTATTCATTGGTGGTTTATAACCTTAAAAATATCTTGATTATTTTAATTCTTCCCCGATTGGTTATTGTTATTACCATTATTAAAGTTTCCTGGTGGTATTTTTGGTCTATTTTGTCTTACTGGTGGGTACCTGTTGTGTTGGTTAAATTGGGGTGGCATTTTCGGTGGAGGTTTATTTCTCTTTATAAATTGAGGAGGAGGTGGTCTTGGAGGGCCCATTTGCTGCGGTCCTGGACCTCTTCGTTTAATTTGAGGGTATTTGGAGTTGGCTATACTCAAACACGTGCTCAGAAGTATAAGAAGAATTATCTGAAAGAGAAAAAAATTACATGTCTCAATAATGAAATTTAGTTCTTTTCTGGTAAATCACACTAAATTTATCTAGTATAAAACTAATAAAAATATTGATGAATATTTAAACAGGTGCTTAGGCAACGTAATGAACCAATCTATAAAACCAATTTTAACTTATAGAATACAGTCTATAATTACTGTTACTGCCTAGTGATATTCTAACTCAATGTTTGTATTTTGCTATTTTTTAAAGAGCATTTTTAATGCTCAAGTTATGTATGTAGGTATGTACGCTGATCGATACGAAAAATTAAGATCTTATCTATCATTTTCAAGTACTTAAATTTTAATATATTTTGTTTTAGTGGCCCGATTTTGGTAAATCTTAAGCAAAATACCGGGTGGCGTCTCAAAAGTGGCTTACCCCCTATAACTTTTTTATTTTTTCAGATAAAAAAACGACATTTGGTATATTGTAACTAATTTTATACATAAATTAGGATTGATTATTCAATTGATTTTGGTCACTTCTCAAATTCCTGCTTCACCGGAAATGACTACAACTTTTGATTTTTACATGGTACCCTTATTATATTTTTACTTTATTCGATAGAAAATGACACTTTGAGTAGAATGAACTTTAATAATAGAAACTTTTGACATTTTCTTTTAAAAAATAGTATTTAAAAAAAAATAATTTTTAATGAAGGAGCCTTGGAAAAATAGATTTGATCGTCTAATGTTTTTAGTGTCTTATCCTGGCAGGTTAAATGATGCCCATATTGTATTTTTTATCATAACTTAATTTTTTCAAACGGAACGAGGGTGGCTCATTAGCATATTTGAGAAAAATGCATCGTTTTACGAATAATTTGGAACCACACACTTGGTATTTCGAGTCAAATTGTTGTTATGAACCGCAGTTACAATTTCAAATAAACAATAGATATGCGAAAATGTCAAACGTTGACATATGATTTGTCATTCTATTCAGAGTGTCATTTTCTATTGGACAAAGTAGAAATATACCGAGGGTGCCATTTAAAAATTAAAAGTTGTATTCATTTCCGGTGAAACAGGAAGTGACAAAAAATTATCATAAATTTTGTATAGTATATTAATTAGCTGGTCATTATTTCTGTTAGTAACAGTATTTAAGCAAAGGTACCAGTGAAAAATGTCATAATAATCATTGAACATACATAATAATATGTTTAAATATACGTACTGAGTATAATAATTATATTATTAGTATGTAAATTATCTTGTAATCTTAATCTAATTTTAATAAATTTTTAATTTTGCGTACATTATTAATAAAGCCTTTAAAAAGAATATTCTCGTATTGTGAACTAATTTTGAATAAGTGAGAGTTACAAATGTTTACCGTAACTGTAAAAACTATTTTAAACAATGCTAATTTAAGTATTTTGAATAGTGAATCTACATAGTTTAGATTTCTCGTGCGGCCACTAATTTTTCAAACAAAAAATTTCTCTTCAATCAGAATATAATAGTCACTTAAAAGAATCATATAGAACAAAAATATATTCTATATTTACTTTTTAGGGATATAATATTAAAAAAAAATAATTGTACTGTCAAAAATACAAAGATTCGTATTTCCTAAAAAATCAAATGTATCTAAATATATATGAAGTATACCGGGTGCGTCTCACAAATTTTTTGAGACGAATTTTGCTCGAAAAATCACTGCTGTTAAAAACCCATATAAAATATTTTTCTCTTCAGTCTGTACCTGTACTAATCTGTACACAAACCCTTGATTGTACCATTAATTATGCATATTTGGTAACCTGAATATTTATATCATCCTATAATGTCTATATACCGGATGTGTCGCATTAATGGTCCCAACGAACTCAAGAGTTTCTGTACAGACTGCACAGCTACAGACTGAAGTGAAAAATATTTTTTTATGGGTTTTTAACAAAGAGGTTAATTAGACAAGGTGTAAATGAAAAATGCCAAGACATTCGGAAGGATTGTGCTTTTGAACAATTAAAGCATTTATTTATATAAAACTAGAGAGCAGAACTAGAGCAGAAAGTTGTGGTGGACTGATGAACTTGAAAAACTTGTAGAGGAAAAAAAGATACTGTATTTGAAATGGCTAAATTCGAAATCTGAACTAGACAAGCGCACTTATAATGACAAGAAAAATGAGGTGAGGAGAATGGTAAAAGAAGAAAAGAATAAAGTGTGGGAGAACAAAAGCAAAGAAATTAATACGTATATAGGCGGAAGAAGGAATACGGAAGTATGGAGATTTATAAAAACAACAACAACTGAAAAACAGGAGTCAGCCCCTATAGAAATAATAACCAACAAAGAATGGCTGAAATATTATTCCAAATTGTTGTCAGAGAACAGACCTGACTATCAAGAACCGCCACAGCCAGAAATAAACATTGAAGGAGAGGAAATCTACGTGGATACCAACAAAATAAAGACCGCTATAATGTCTTTAAAGAATGGAAGAGCATGTGGCCCAGAGGGAGTATATGCGGAACTCATAAAATCTGGAAGCAAAAAACTGTTTAGAATGTTAACAAACATAGTTAACCAGTGCTTAAATGGTCATCCAGTACCTGAACAGTGGAAAAAAGCATATATCTCCTCTATATATAAAAAGGGCCCAAGGAAGGATCTCAATAACTACAGGGGAATTTCGGTCACCAGCACTATGAGTCGCCTCTATGGAAGGATACTGAGGAACTTAATTGAAGAGGAATACTCCAGCTACGAAGAAGAAGAGCAGAATGGTTTCAGAAGCGGAAGATCATGTACAGATAATATCTTTGCATTGAAACAGATCATCGAGAAGAAATCTGCAATGAACCAGGAAGTTCATATAACATTCGATCTACAAAAAGCATATGATACAGTGCCAATAATAAAATTATGGGAAGTATTGCACGAATCAAGAATTAACGCAGCTCTGATAAAAGCTGTACAAAATCTTTACCATAGAGGAAAATCACAAATAAAAACGGTCAACGGTCTCTCAGAGGAAATTTCTATCACTAAAGGACTCCGACAGGGTTGCTGTATATCCCCAACACTATTTAAAATTTATATTTCCAAGGCCTTACATCTATGGAAAAGAAAATGTAACGGAATGGGTATAGAACTAAATGACATATATGCAATTATATACCTTGCAATTTGCAGACGACCAGGACATAATTGCAAACGACAAAGATGACATGGAATATATGGTGCGGAAAATAATTAATGAATATGCTAAATGGGGCCTCACAGTAAATACAGAAAAAACAAAATACCTTCCAATTGGAGCTAATACAGAAAATCTTATTTTAGACAATAATATGGAAATTAGGACATATGAAGATTACAGGTATCTGGGATCGATATTTACAGGAGATGGAACGGACGATAGAGAAATAAACAACAGAGTAATACAGGCACGAAGAGTTATCAGATGCATAAATGGCATTCTATGGAGCACTGAAATTGCAAAAAACAGGAAATATAATATATACGAGACACTAGTTAAAAGCATATTACTCTATGGATGTGAAACATAGCGACTCACTGAAAGGAATAAAAGGAAATTAGAGACAACAGAAATGGACGCGATTAGAAGAGCAATGAGAATTTCACGGAGGGATAAGATCAGAAATGAAGACATTAGACAACAGATGGGAATAGAGGAACCAATAGTAAATGATATAGAACAAAAACAATTAATATGGTACGGCCACGTTCAGAGAATGCACAATGAAAGAATTCCAAAACAAGTCATTCATTGGATACCACCTGGTAAACGAAAGAGAGGACGTCCCAAGAAAACATGGATGGAAGGAATAAGAAGGTCGATGAGCGAGAAAAATCTGACCGAAGATCAATGGGAAAATCGCACAGGGTGGAAGTTAGGCATCGGACAACGTCGTAGGACGTTCTGACCCGAATTTATTTATATTTACATAAAACTTTTCTATATAAAGTTATTTGCTTATGCAAAGTGAATTTTAAATAAGTGCAATTATTTAGAGCTGGTAGAACCTTTTCCCGTATTTCAAATAAGTCCAAAATATCCGAGTTATTTGACTAAGAATTTGCACAAAAGTTATGTAAACATTATGAGGATGATGGTCTGGTTAGGTGAATTGTAACCGAAAATATTAGACAGACTACAAATGCAGGTTTTAAAACTTTTTGTTGGCAGTTCCAATGTAACTATCTACTACTAATAGTACTAACTAAACACCATTATTTTATTCATGTTAACTTTCCTTTACCGGGTGTTTCTTAAAAGGAGCTCACCTCTAACATTTTTATTTTTTTCAGGTAGAAAAACGAGATTTGGTACTTTAGTAATCTGACATAAATCAGGAGTGATTGACGTATTCAATTGTTTTCGGTCATTTCCGGTTTCACCGGAAATATTTAGAACTTTTGATCTTTAAATGACACACTCTATATTTTTTAACTTTATTCGATAGAAAACGACACTCAATAGAATGACATATTATATGTCAACTTTTGACATTTTCGCATATGGTTTATTTGAAATTGTAACATGCGGTTCATAACGATAATTTGACACAAAATACCAAATATGTGGAAATAAATTATTCGTAAAAAAATGCTTTTTCCAAAAATATGCCAGTGAGCCACCCTCGTTCTATTTGAAGAAATTGAGATATGATTAAAAATACGATTTGGGTACCTTTTAACCGGCCAGGACGACACGAAAACCAATATTAGATGATCAAATCTATTTTCCATTTAGATGATCAAATTAATGTTTGTAACACAACCACACTATAACACACTATAGATCGAAATTTAAAATAATGTTTTTTAAGGGAAAATGTCAAAAGTTGATATGATATGTCATTCTATTTCATTGGAATCACAAACAGTTCTTGGAAAAAAATTATAATAAATTGAAAAAATGAAGATTTTAACATCTGGTAGCTACGAAACAAAGCAGAATCGGACCTATGTTGACAAATAAATCTGTTTTTTTTACGTGAGGAATCCCCCCACGAGATATGGCACATGTTTTTTAAAACACCCTGTATATTACCCTGTATATTATATTTAAGTAAAATGCGTCTTGATTTCTGATATAAAATATAGGTAGTGTGTTCATTTGGGCATATTGGGATTTTATAATTTTTATAGCTTTTTTGTAGTAGATTTTTTTTATTTAGAAATGGTGATAATTCAAATACAATATCACCACTACACAGGGTGTTTCAAAAAACATGTGCCATCTCGCATAGGGAGATTTCTCACGTAAAAATAAGATCTATTTTTTATAACAACATAGGTCCGAATCTGCTTTGTTTCGTAGCTACGGAGGCTTAAAATCTTATTTTTTTTCGATTTATTATAATTTTCTTTCAAGAACTGTTTGTGATTTGAATGAAATTTTGAGGATAGAAGTCAGTATAAGTGTTACATATTTTAATGCTAAAATAGTGTCAACAGATTCACGTGCAAATGGGTTATTACTGGAAAAATTTTCAATCGAATAAAATCTAAGTAAAAAAATTCCTGGGGTGCCATTTAAAAATAAAAAGTTGTAGTCATTTCCGGTAAAATAGGAAGTGAACGAAAACGATTGAATACATCAATCAGTTCTAGTTATTTAAGTTGAACGAATTTATATGTCATATACTAACATAACAAATCTCGTTTTTTATTTGAAAAAATAAAAAAGTTATAAGTGTGAGCCCCTTTTGAGAAATACTTTGACTTTGGGAATATAAATAAAAATAGTATGTTGGTTTATTAGGAGTAAAAATCATATTTTTCGTTTCGAGGCTGTACTTTCGACGCCGAATAGAACATGCTATTTTTTTTCAAACGTCACAAATTTAAAAAAAAAATCAAACGTCGGCGCAAATAATATAAAAAGTAATACCTTGTAAGTAATTATAAATCAAGCAACAATGGGCACACTCGTTGAATTTGACACTTAATGTTACTTAAATAAGATAGAGAGATACATTAAGTCAGTTGATCGGGTTTGTTAATTGACTAATAAGTAACTTTTGATAACAACCCAGTGGAGCAAAGTTTTGTCACATTTAGGGAACATTCGGGAACAGTTAAGATTCTGCGTTTTATTGCTTCATATTAGGAAAAAGATAGGCCTGGTAACGTAACAACGACGTCCCCTAGAACACATTTCCTTTAAAGGAATAAAACCTCACTGGGAATATCTAATATATAAAATTCTCGTGTCACAGTTTTAGTTACCATACTTTATACTTCTCCCAAATGGCTTGACCGATTTTGATAAAATTTTCTATGTATATTTAGTAAATGAGAGCATGGGTTGTTATCTATTTTTTATACCCCTGTATGTATATGTGTCACCTCTAACTAAGTGATAAGGGTGGTCCACCCTAATTTTTTTTTATTTTTTGGACAACATTTTTTATTTTTATTTTTTTATGATGTGGCATTAAAACATACATACAACCCTAAATTTTCACCCTTCCACCACCAACTTCTATTTCTTAATAGCGATGGCAAAACAACATTTGCCGGGTGAGCTAGTTTTTATATAAAATACTAGGTAATAAATAAATACTACGACTGTTATAACTCAATCAATTAAATATTTTTCTTGTACAGAGACCTACCTTCATGTTGACTATAATTTCAAAAAATTATCCGGGAAAAGCGGAAATATATTTTCTTTCACTCACTCTCCATTCATGCACTCAGAAAACGTCGCGCCCCACACTCACAAACACGGAGAAAAGTTTAGCCAATTTCCCAAGTTCTTCATGTATCAAGCGCAACGTGTGTTCATAGCAAAACTAAGCAAAAATAGGTCACTGTCGCGGCATTTATACGCACAGACGGAAGAAATGAAGATATTGAAGTTGGCATCCGCACACATACGCTCTTCTTTTACCGTCTCTACATTCTCGATGGTCAGGTGAAGATACCTACACCGGCCGATCAACCTAAAGATAATACCGGTATCAAATAAGCAGTTAGAAATTGCTTTATATATAAAATAGTTTTTCTACCAGTTCTTTTAATTTTCTTTTTTAACGATTTGCTATTAATAACTGTATTTGTAAGTATTTGATATAAATATTTGTTTCACCGGAAATGACTACAACTTTTGATTTTTAAAGGCACCCTCGATATTTTTTTACTTTATTCGATAGAAAATGACACTTTGAATAGAATGACATATCATATGTCAACTTTTGACATTTTTGCTTAAAACAAAATTGAATTTTAAATTTCAATCTAGAGTGCCATGGCTGTGTTAAAAGTGAGCCTTGGAAACATAGATTTGATCGTCTATTCTATTCAAGACACTAAAAACATTCATTTTTTAGTGTCTTGAATGGCTAAAAGATGCCTAAAATGTATTTTTAATCATATCTCAATTTTTAGCCGACCATACCAATAGGTATGGTAGGCTATTAGGATCGGCAAAAAAAAGATTTTTTTAATTTCACTCAAAATGCGTTACTTGGGTCATAAATGACCTAAATACAAAATATTTGTGTCTGTCTGTCCGTCCGTCTGTCCGTCTGTAACACGATAACTCAAAAACCGCTGAACCTATTTTAACCAAATTTGGCACAAAAATACTGTGGCACCCGAGAATCTGGCTATTAGTTTTTGGTGGGGGTGGTGGGTTTGAAAGGGGGTATGGAAGGGGGTTAAAAATTTTAAAAAATCGTAACTCCAAAATTACAGTAGCTAGCGAAACGCGGTTTTCAAATTAAGATTAGGAATAATATTTGCAACAAAATTTGTAATAACATCAAAATCAGTCAAAGTCGCAGTTTTCGAGATATTAACATATTTTAGTATGGGCGGCTATACGTGCCTCCCGGCGCCATTTTTTTTTCAAATGGGACGAGGGTGGCTCATTAGATTTGGAAAAAGCATTTTTTACGAATAATTTGGTACCATACACTTGGTATTTCGAGTCAAATTGTCGTTATGAATCGCATGTTGCAATTTTAAATAAACCATATTCGAAAATGTCAAAAGTTGACATATGATATGTCATTCTATTCAGAGTGTTTTCTCTTTTGAGACGCTCCCGGTATATGGATTTTTTCGCGAAAAAAATTGAACATTTTGTATTTTTCTAAACTTTTTGGAACATTCTAATATGTATGTGAATATTATACAGGGTGTTTCATAAAACATGTGCCATCTCTCATGGGGAGATTCCTCACGTAAAAGTAAACTTTATTTTTCATATCAACATAGATCCGATTCTGATTTGTTTCGTAGCCACAGGAGGTTAAAATCTTAATTTTTTATCAATTTATTATAATTTTCTTCCAAGTGTTTTTAGCAATTCGAATGAAATTTCGAGGGTAAAAGTTAATGGGGCTAAAAAAGTGTCGACAAATTTACCAGGGACGTGCATATGGGGTATTACTGGAATATATTTCTAAAAAAAAATGTGGCGCCAATTATTTTTTTTAATAGCAAAATTGTGTAGAGGTGTAAACCATTTAATGCTGATTAAAAGTTGTATCTTGGTATTTTGTCCATTTCTATCTCCTTGATGGGATAAACGCAATTTTATTAATCACAAATTATATAATTAAAATAAAACAATATACACTCCAATATATGTTCCATATAGGCAATACATCATCGTTTCTCAAATTTTTTTTAGTGTATTTCTGGTTCTGGGTATGCGACGCACACCTGGGTATGCAAACTCACTAAAATTTGTGAGTTAACTTAATCATTTGTAGTATTAAAGACAATTTTGAAATTTGCGATTTTTTCCCTTTTTTTTCAGTGCCTTCAAAATGTTTGTAACGGTTTTTTTCGTGTGTATGTATTTAAATTTGAAGTGAAGCAGATAACAAATAAATAATTTTAACTTAAATTGTTACAATTATTTTTTAATCTAAAGATTATATCAATTGATTTTCTCTTTAATTATGTTTTAATACACTAGGTTTAATTATCGCGTGCACCACGCCAGCACACTAGATTACTGGGTTGCTCGATTTTTAATTTTCAGATTATAGAACTATTATTGAAAAGAAAAACTATACAAATTGAGCTGGCAATTGCCTCGTAGCAGAGCCATCATAAAAGCAGAAGTATATTCACATGTTTGTGACGTTTGCATTGAGGGTTAACAGTAAACTTCTGGATATCTCCGCTGAAACTAGTTTAATATTTAGATCCAAATATATTTTCTAGTTTACAGCATAACAAGCAGGAATAAACTTCAATCAAAGCTGGTATGATGTAGAATGTAGAATGTTCAGGAGGGGAGTTAATCATCGCGAATCGCGACCTTACAGATCTATTGTCTGTTTCCCTTTCTTGAGTTATAACGAGTTATAACTCAACAATCTCAGGGCTATACCAAAAGCCAGTATCTGAGACGGCTCCACAGAGGCCAGCTCCCCATTCCCGACATCAGTCGTACTAAAGTTCATGGCACGAATGGTCGCCGTCTCGGCGCACTCAGTGATAAGGTGTTCTTGTGTTTCCCCATTTTCCTCATCTGCATTTCCCCATCTGCATTCGCCGTTGTTTCTCAGCTTCAGGTTACTGAGGTGTTCGTTGAGGAGACAATGTCCTGTGATAGAAACCCCGGCCCCGTAACAATCCGAAAATTGTTTTACTTAAATCAACGAAAATCTTTGTTTTTTCTCGGTCGTAAGTTTTGATGAACTTTTTCGAGTGTCTTAGACCGTTGGAGGACTCCCATTCCAGGTTACGGATGGACTCCTCCAGGTTCCTCAGTTCCGCCTTTAGTTCGTTTCTGCTCGGAAAATATGATGAATGAAAAATATGATATTCACTCGTAACTTATGTACAAAAATTGCCTCTGAAAGCTTTGAATATCAAATATTATATTTTATTAGAACTATACTGGTTTTAGAATCTACAGACACAAACTTCACAGTAGACAGTAGCTCGTAGAAAAAATATCCCTAATATCTCGACGATTTACCTTTCCTGTTTTTATCATAAGAAGTAAAAAATATAAGTATATCAACTATGTGGAATGTTATCAACAATTTTCAAAGTATAACATACATAATACCACCGAATAATTATAAACACTTAACAATCGAATTGTATCATACAATATGTACCATACATATTGTTCTTTGCTATGGTAATTTTATGTTTGATTAGTCTCTCTTTTTCAAGAGAATTGCCCGACGACTGGACACACTCCACTATTGTCACTCTCCACAAGAAAGGGAGCATACATAAGTGCAGCAACTATCGTACCAATTTCCCTCATCTCACATGCCAGTAAAGTAATGTTCCAAATTTTAAATGAACGACTGAAAGCTTTTCTAGAAAGAGAAATTCCAGCAGAACAAGCAGGTTTCACCAAGGGCAGAGGCACTCGGGAACATCTTCCGAATATGCGCCAAATCATAGAGAAAGTAAGGGAATTTAACATCCCTCTTTATATTTGCTTCGTAGACTATAAAAAAGCTTTCGATAAAGTCAGATGGCATCACGTGTGGAAAATCTTAAAGGAAGTGGGAGTACCGCAACACCTTATTTCACTTATCAGTTGTATCAGCACACTACAGGATCAGTTAGAATACTGGATTCAGCTTCAAAGGAATTTTCTCTTGAACAGGGGTGTATATTGTCTCCTCAACTAATTAACATACCTATACGGAGAATACATCATGTGAAGGTCGCTAGAAATTCAATAAATGGCCAAAAACTAAATAATCTACGCTTTGCAGATGATACAGCACTACTCGCTAGCAGTCAAGAAGAGTTAATCAATTTAGTAAATAGGGTAGAAAACGAAAGCGATCGACTCGGTCTGGAACTAAATACACAAAAAAAAACAAAATCATGATAGTTGATCGGCAACATAACAACCATCCAAATATAAGTCATATCGACCGCTTTGAAGTCGTTAAGTCATACGTATACCTGGGATCACTATTGACAAATACAGGCACATCGGAAGAAGAGGTGAAGTGTAGGTGCAACATGGCAACGGTAGCTGTTGGGGGCTGACCAAGATCTGGAGAGACCGCCAAATTTCAAGAGCCATCAAAAACCGGCTAGTCAATTGTTTGGTACTCGCAATATTGACGTATGGCTGCGAATCGTGGACTCTCAGGCAGGCGGAACGTGAGAAGATAGATGCTACCGAGATGTATTGTTATAGACGTATGCTCCGTATCCCATGGACTGAACGCCGTACAAACGTTTCCATTATAAATGAACTGGAAAATCCGACTATAAAACAATTAAAATATTTTGGACATATAATGAGGAAAAGTCTGGACAATATGGAAAGACTCATAATTCAAGGCAAGGTGGAGGGACGTAGACCACGTGGTCGCTCTCTGATTCGATGGATAGGCTAGATAACGACTAGCTGTAGGAAGCCAATGCACGATGTCATCGAGATGACAAAAGACAGAGGCGCATGGAGAAAAATCATCCATGATGTTACGCTGACCACTACACTCCCTAATGGGGGTCAGGACTGTAGAGAGAGATTTTCTCTTCTAGATGTATCAGGCGCCACTAAAATATGCATATTATGTATATCATTTAAATACGACAAATTATTCTTGGAAAATTAACGAAATAAAATTGGGTTATGCGCTGAAAAAAACAATACTGTAATTTATATTTTTAAAGAAATAATCTAAATTTAATATTGGAGAAACTTGGTTACGGAAAAAATCCAAATTCAGCTAATGGGAATAAAATGATAATATCTAGTTTCTAAAACTGAAGCGTGATTTAAAATAAATCAAATAGCACTAAAAACTAAGGCAAATCTAAACTTGGACGGTTCATTTTCGTGCAGCCGAAAGG